AGGGAATAAACAGGAATTTAAGGGAATTAACAGGAATTTAAGGGAATAAACGGGAATTTAAGGGAATAAACGGGAAGTGTTTCCCCTAGGTTTACTGCTTTGGGGGGTTACTGCCTGGGGGGGGGGATATATATTTTTTAAATCCTCTGGAGCAGAGAGAGGAGCTGTGGATTATTGTTATTGATTAATGCATCAGTGTTTCTTAGGGTCAAAAACACTAAACTCACAATGAAAGCGTTTAGTTTATTTAATAAAAGAGCTCATGTGAAAAGTGACAGTAGATATATTACTTCAGTTGCAATTTGGTGCTATATATATATATATATATAAATAAAACACCTTGAATTTCAGCCATCACATGCACAGATGATTTCTTGGATGGGGGGGGTGAATTTCTGTTCATTTTTGAATGAGTGGGTTTGGGGGGATGAGTAATATTGTTCAATAAAAGAATTAAAACTTGTTCTGTTCTACTTACAAATAAGTCTGTTGAAATGTCATGTATAATAATTGTATCATTTTGCATGGATGTTTTCTTATGACAAAACAAAATGTTTATATTATTATAAGATACAATTCGATTACATTACCCTCAACTCGGGTTAGTTCCCATTATTCCCATGGAAAGTTTCCAATATGGAATATTTCCAAAATTTCCTAGCTTAACTTCACATGAAAATGTACCGGAAACTTACCGGAAATGTACGGGAAATGTTCCGCCCCTTTGCAACCCTAACCCTATCCCTACGGTGTAGTATGCAATGAATGAAAAACTTGGGTCACAGGTTCCTCAACAACACAATTACAAGACATAAAATAATAAAGACAGAACAATACAAATAGTTTGTGGAAAGTGCCATCATCTCTTCAATATCTCACATCATGAACCCAAATGAATAACCTAAACAAGTAAACTCATGAACACAGGCTATTGTACGTGATAGGCTAAGTGGCGGGCAATCTCTAAGCGATTGACCAATCACAACAGAGCCGGCCAGCTAACCAATCAGAGCAGCCTGGGCTCTGGTTTCAGACAGAGGGTGAAAAGAGGTGCTGCAGCACAGGCAGTATGATGGAGACATGTCCCAGTAGAGACACTACATACTCAAATGAAGCTGAACATCAGCAGGAGAGGACCCTGTGTCAGGATCACAGTTTCCACCAACGTGTAATGTCAATACATGCAGAGATAAACCACAGAAAGGGCAGAGATAGTAGCGTTAGAGACTAAATGCTTCCACTGATGACACCCAAGGCTGAATGCACCACGTTCAGGCTAAACTAGGGAGGAATGCCTGGTATTCCCACCAACTTCACGCTAAATAACAGCTTTCACTGCTGTGCGGCAACAACAGAAACTACTTCTGTTGGAATTGTCCCGTCAGCCTCAGACAGAGACCAGAAACACTCTCCATCTGGACCGGCTGAGGCTGGACATGGATCAAGATGAATAACAGGGTCACACCAGCTGAATGCCTCTGAATAATAGCCGTGTGATGAGAGTGAATGGAAACCCACACAGTCACATGTCCAGAGGTTTCAGTGGGAGTGATAATGTGCTATTGTCTGTCACTGTGTGTAGTTCCCATTCACAGAGTGTTACAGTAATGCAGAGATGCTTCATCATACCACGGAGAGTCAGCTGAATACCGCTATAAAGGGAATGTATGACCGTTTGGATCGTCGTTTTAATCTCTAGTTTGTCATCATTTTAGGTGATAAAGACCTGTCAATCAAACAATGATGGCACTATAAAGCCAGATGTTCTGTTGGTGGAGTCCAAAACAGAGCTACAGTTGAACATGTGTTTATATCAGGTGGGCAGAAACACAACCGCAGATGGATGTTAACTTGCTCTGCTGGAAGTGTAAATAAGCAACAGTTTGCTAACAGGTTAGCACTTTTATAAGATGATCATTTAACAACATTGTGTTTAGAGTTTGTTTCATTGCCCTTCGTGCACAAAAACTCGAACAATGGTGATTTAAAAGATTCCTCGATCTGATGGTGGGAAAAAGCTCTGTGATACGTAAACTCTACGTACCAAAAGATAAGAATAATCTCTGCCTAAGCTACATTAGCTTAGGCAGAAGAACCTATGACAGCAGCACTGAGCTGTGCTGGGGTCCTAACTAGTACACACTATGTCAGCTTCAACTAGTCATCAGTGGTGGAAAGTATTCAGATTCTTTAGTTGAATAAAAGTACTAAGACCACAATCTAAAAACACTTAATTTCAAGTTAAAGTACTGCATCGAGAATGCTACTTAAGTAAAATAATGATTAGGAAAATGTACTCAAAGTATTAGGACTTAAAGAACTGAAAGCAGCAAATGTTCAGATTTAAGAAACAAAAAACACTTTTCAGTTTACCCACTCTTCAGTTACTTAAAGGTGGGGTACGTCATTCGCTTCAGATACACTTTTTGTTATATTCCATGGAATGCTCTTAACATCCCGATAGCAATGAATATCTGAAGTGCTTTGACAATAAATCCATTAAAAAACGTCATCTGTGGAAGCCGTAGCGCTGTAGAAAGCACGACCAATCATCTGAGCCGGCCCGGCTAAAGTAACTGGATGGCCTACCTGCCTGTCAGCCTTCAGAGCCCCTCCTCCAACACACAGGAACGCGCACATGACCAATGAGGGCACGAGATCAGTGTGTGCCCAGGTAAGGAAGTCTGAAGGAAGGGGCAGATTTTTTTCGGCTGCGTACTTTCATATTCGAGCGCACTCGAGCTGCTTTCTCCATTCTTACCTACCCTACCTTTAATATAAATGGTGAAAGATTTCATCTTTAGCAAATTATCATATTTTAAAAGTTTTTGCTCCGTATTGTGTCAACATTTGAATTTATAAAGTAAATACATCTGTAAAATAAATGTGGTGGAGTAAAAAGTATATAATTGGCTTCCAAAATGTATAAGACAAGTATAAAGTAGTGTAAAAGTAAAATACTCAGGCTCAAATAGAATAGTACAAATGTCTCAATGTGTATTTAAGTACATACTTGAGTAATACTCTTAGTTACTTTCCACCACTGCCTGTACGCAGAGCTGCTGCTGCACTGACTGATGTTCAGGCCAGAATATAATGTGCTAGCACACCTGTTAGAAATAAACCACTGAAAATAAAATAAAAGCAAATTGATTTCTCATTGGAAAGAATAAATGTGTACCGAGCAGATAGTCTCTGATAAAGTGCCACATGTTTCTGGTGCTGCGTGTATAAAAAGAAACAATACGAATTCTTGTGTTTCTTCTGCAGGATGCACAAGGCACCGGGGCGGGGGGCAGGATGTTTGCACCCCAACCTCAAACTGTGACGTGAACACACACAACATGAGCTATACACAGGTTCAATGATAGTATACCTTTGACTGTATTGTTAGAAAGTAGCTTTCATGACTTCTTAAAGACAGCAGTTATGCCTGATATACAGTAAGCTTGATGTGTCCTAGCAAGGTCAGATATATAGACACATAAAAACAGCAAATCCTCACACTTGACATTTTGGTTCGACAGTCAATTACATTTTCAAAAAGTCTTAGATGAATTTAATGTCGATCAGGCAGGTAACTAATTTCAGGTATTTCATTTATAAAATAAGTTATAAACAGACTTCCATGTCTGATTATTTTGTACTTTATATGTATGGAGTACATTTTAAGAAACATACCAATATTGGAACATTGTGATAAGATATATATCAATGTTTAGTGTTGACTCCATCCTCTCTAAAACCTATTTTACAATATAAAGTATGTTTTTTTCCTATAAAGTGAAAATAATGTTGACATTTTTGACATGGAACGATCTGTAGGAGAAAGTGCGATCAAACCTTTAGAGAGAGAATAATAAGGTCTTGATACATCTCTCTCCCATATGCAGCGCTGAGATTTATGTGTTAGAGTTCTCCTGAAACAGGTTCACCTTGATGAGCTCCAGCTGATGACAAAAGTAACTTATTATCTTATCATTTCATCTTAACTTGATTTATTTGTTATGGAAATGTGCTCACTGCATACATATAGTTTTGTATCCTATCACATCCATTTTCCACATTCTCTTAAACCTGTCTGTGACTTGGATAATAAATAAGTAGGCCTAAGTGTGTTTTTATAAAATATATATATATAAATATGATGAAAAATGCCACATTTGCAGGATATCATTGTGATAAGAGATGTATCAATTTGTAGTAGGAGAAACACCAATGAAACCCTTTTAGTGAGAATAATAAGAATTTAGATCTTGATAAATCTCTTGATGAAAACCCTCCCATACGCAGATATATGCGGCTTGGGGAGTAACAGATTACATGTTACGTGATTACGTAATCAGGATACCAAAAGAGTTTTCACTTACAAATTCATTACAAAATAAGTGATCAGATTACTGATACATTTAAAAAATAGAGATTACTTGCAGGATGACAGAGTTACAATACATTTTGAAATAAAGATAGATATAAGGCAGACATACTGAATGAGTTTTCTTTATGGTTTATATTTAGGCTTCTTTAATTCTTCTTTATTTTACATACATTTCTTTTTGAATGCATTTGATGGAAACCTGATTTATTTAACAAAAATACAGTTTGCTTTTGATTAATTTATTAAGCTTAAACAGCATTTGTAAACTGTAAATACTAAAACATTTTAAATGAAATATCTTGGTTTCTTCTTTTCTAAGGTGACATTGTTACATACAAAAAAAGTGAATAAATGTTTTGACTGTTATTTTATTTGCATTTCATGTGATTGAGCTTTTATATTTTGATACTCAGATTCAGTTCCTGGTTACATTTATTGACATGAAATTAGGTTTTGTAACGGATTACATTCTGAAGTAGCCCTCCCAGCCCTGGATATCTGACATATTGAGACTTGTGATGCAGTCACCTTGATGACAGGAAGTGTTAGAATCTCTGCTCTAACCTGATGGCAGTCTGTTTGTTCTGCGGTGAAAAGACGCGGAACTGTTCTCCTCACTCACCTTGAATACATCTCCATAGGTGCCGCACCCAATCCTGTGAATTAACTCGTAGTCATCCAAAGGGTCCAGGAATGACACCCCTATCCGGTCCATGTTTGGAGGCACCTCTGGGTGCAGTGTGAGAGCCTGGCGGGATTTCTACTCACACATCACCGCTGTGGTAGTCCGTGGAGAAAGCAGCAGCAGCAGCAGCAGCGGAGGAATACAATGTGAGTGACTGGCTGGCTGGCTGGTTGATTGGGACTAATTGGAGGTGAATAATTGCTGGTGTATAGATCCCGCTGGAAGACAGTAGACACGCACTCCGCGGAGGCTGACAGCTACAGGCGTCTGTGTGCAAACAGTCCGTGCTGCTGCAGGAGCCGCATCACGCATGAGCAAAGACTCCACACTGTAAAAAATACAAGTGTATGACATCAGTGAGCTCGAGTCAGTCTTTAAGCCTCGGGCTATGCTATTTGCTGCCAAACATAAAAGGACAAATGTCGGAGTGATAAAAGAAACATATTCGTGTTAATTGAAAACCATACCCTACTTTAACATTGTTTTCCATTTTTGAGTCATAGTTTTAACTTTTGTTGAGAATTTTGACTTAAAAGATGTAGGCCTCATCATTAGCTATAAGCTATGTCTTTCAATTGGGCTACATATTTTATTCTTTAATTATAACTTACATAGCCTAGTTTTGACCCAACTCCTTTTATATGTCATAATTTCAACTTTAAAATGTTCAATACTTAGGTCTTACCGGGAAGCCTCGGCTGTAGGCTCCTGTGTGTTTAGTGCTAATCTTTATATGTTCAGTCTATGGTGCTTATTAGCATGTTTACATGCTAAGCTAAAGAGGTGGGAATGCTAATCGTGTGAGATCAAAAGTTAAGAATTTGACTTATTTTCTAAAAAATATTGACACAGTATGGCATGATGTTGACATTAAAAGTCGACATTTTGATCTATTAATCAAAAATATTTTGAAGTCAACATTTCAAATATGTGGATTTTCACATACTTTGACTTGTTGGGTCAGAACAATTACTTTTTGTGATAATTGTGCTTTGTTATTTGTGCTTTGAGTAACAAGGTCAAATGATTGACTTTGCATTTCAATTCAATATAGAATAACATCACACATTTTGACTTTGTAGTTATTTATTCAAAAAGTAACTTTTTATCTCATCATTTTAACCTGGTAACATTTATTTATTTGTGTTGGAAATATGCTCACTTTATACTTTTAGCTTTGAAACTTATCACATCCATTTTACACATTATACATCTGTTCTGTGACTTGGATAATAAATAAACAAGTGTATTGTGTGCATATTGATTTTTGACCAAATGGAAACTATAATATTTGCAGGCCTATTGACCTGAGCCAGGTTAATCCATGGATGTATTAAAATAACAATATCAGGCAATCACTGCTAAACAATGACATGAATAGTGTTACTTTGAGTTTGTCCCCCCTTCTTGCATCTAATGTGTCCAATGAAAGCCCAATCCAAATCATGTATACTCTTATTTTCTTAAGAATGGCATGTAATAGATCAGTTTTTGATTTCGTGAGACCACCCAGTGAGCAAATATTCTCTGGAGAGATGAACCACTGCTTTTTTACTGAATGAAGCAAAGACATACTACCTCCACTGCAGAAAAGGTTACAACAAACCTGTTCCAGTGTAGAGCCTCTTATAGCTCAGTCAACTGTGACCATGTGTTCTTATATATCTAATACACCTCCTCAGATCGCATTACGTTTTATTTTAGTTCTTTATTACTTGCAGATACAAAAACAACAACAACCACAAGTCCTCAAGCATATAGGATGTAGCAGGGTCACCTAATGTGGCTCCTTCTCAACAGTGCATGGTCTTCCTGGTCTTCTCTAATCATTAGAAAAAGGCCTCGCTTAGCTATTCTCAAAACTAAAGGCCACCTACTTTAGAAAGAACAAAGGCAACAAAGAGCTAGCAAGAAAGAAGCTGCCAATAAGCAGAAGCGGACAATGTTACACAGTAACTATCCTAAATAAAACAATCACTTCCAAGGCTTCAGTCATGGACAGGTTCCTAATGGTACAAGTTGATATTTACACGCCTGTATGTTGTATTCTGGTCACCCTCCTTACTTTGGCTTCAAAACATCTGGATGTAAGTTCATGAGAATTGAATAGTAAGTGCGCAATTGGCTGCCAATCAAAACACAAACTAAGGATGAATGAGTGCTTACAATCTATCAAACAAGGCAGCATTTGTTTTTCTGGTCCTAGTAAAATAAAGAGTGAAATGTTCACGTCATCAGTTCAAACCTGATATGTGACGCTTAACTCGAGTGTGCAAGTCAAATATATTGCTGAAAGCGATTGACTGAACTGGACCTCTGGATGAAAACACTGGTAAAAAGTCTCACGAACAAAAGTGAGGTTTATCGGCTGTCTGTTCACAGTTTGTCCTACAGAGTCTCCTCCTCCAACAATCAGCATGTCTAGAGAGACTTGCGCTGGCGCTTCATGAAGGACATGGAGTAGTCCCCGGTGGGGGTGCTCTTCTGCCTCTTCATCTGGACCTGGGACTGGGCGGTGAGCTGCAGCTTGATGGCGCTGGAGTTCACCTTGGCAGCACACAGCAGCCCCTTCATCCCCTTCATCTTCTCACTCTGGAAGGTGACCACAGGCCTGGAGGGGGAGGGGGAGGAGGGCGAAGAGTCCGGGCTGGGGGGTTTTCCTTCTGCGTCTATGCCCCGAAGGCCCTGGGAGGAGCGGCGGCGGCCCCCTCCGTCTCCCACCTTCTTGGGCTGGGCTGCTGGGGGTGTTTGTGTTATTAGCTGGCTGGAGGGGGAGGTGGGGGGGACAGCAGAAGGGCTGGAGCCCTGCTCATCCAGCTTGGACTCCCTCCTGGGGCCCCGCCTGCGGCCCTCCCGGGGGTCGTCGCTGGACATGTCGTCATCATCATTCTGGGGCTCAGGCTCCTTAGTGATGATCGTCACTCTCTGACGCACCTTTGGGATCAGCGCAAACATTTCAGATATAAGATATGGACACATGCTGTTCATAACCTACAGCATTCATCGGTTTGCATTTCATAGTTATTTATTACTACAATAAACAGTATTTAAATTTCACATTCTTCCGTTCTGTTCTATTTTAAATGTATATAATAAACTTAATTGATATAGCACCTTCCATGCAAGATGCAGCCCAACGTGCTTCACATAGATTCATAGAACTAACTGAGTAATAACGAGCGAGGAACAAAAGAAACAAGTTATAAAAAAAGAACACTGAAAGAGTTAGATCACAAAACAATAAAAGATGAACAGGGATACCACTCACATTAAAAAGATAGGTTTTTAATGTACTTTTAAAACTTCCAGAAGAGTTTGTTGTTCTAAGATCCAATGGGAGGCTGTTCCACAGTTATGGGCCATGAAAAGAGAAAGAAGCCTCACCAGATTTCTTGTGAAATACTTGAGGTACTTCTAAGAGAAAGGCATTGGACTCCTCCTGGACAGACTCTTGTGTATACTTGGTCAATTACAACATTCCCTGCAATATTTAGCTTACTGTATTTTATTTGACATGTATATAGTTCACCTCATCTGCATTACTCGCACATTGGTTTTGCAACATAATCTTGCACTATTTTATTTCTACTCTGTTTCTTTTTGCATTATGTTTATTGTTTTAAAAAAAAAAGTGTTTTATGTCATATATATATTCATGTTGCATTGTTGGAGGAGTCTGGGATCTACACTGCGTATGAAAATAAAGCCTTTGAATCTTTAACTTCAAAGCGATGAGCAGGGTTCCTCACCTGAGATTCAAAGCGGCTCAGAGACTGGACCAGGTAGGTGGCCCAGCCCACATGGAGGACCGGCGTGGGGCTGCCCTCCTCCCATTTGCAGATGCCATCGTAGAAACACAGCAGGTGGGCAAAGCATTCTGGGTCCTGAAGTGCAGAGAAAGCGGCTGCCTGCTTCGGGTGATCCTGGAATCAGAATAATAACTGTTAGTTATACAGAACACGTTATACAGGATGTGTCACTCAGCACCCATCTTCTCCTGGTGTCAACATGTGATCTTAATGAAACAGAAAAAGGTATTGCATTTGAATTTTGACATCAGCCATAACTGTTACGGACATGTTGACTGTTTTATATCAAGGACTCTCAAATTGGGGTCCATAGAAATCTGCCATGGGGGACTGTAAAAGGTCGTAAGACTTACTGGTTTAAATTATAGATACATTAGAATACTCTAATAGACCAAGGACAGAAACATAAACATAGTGTACTAAATACATAAATAAAATGGTGCATAGTAGCTTTAAATTAAAAGTTAAATATATCCTGTGAGGTAGTGTAAATAGGCTACATTATGTACAGTATGTGCACATTTTCCCTTATAATGATATTTTTGTTCAGAAAAACATTTCAGTTATCAACAAATATTTTGAAATGGTTGTATTTTAAATGTGAATGACTTTCTATTCTAGTTCTATGTCATTTGGCACACCGTAACCAGAGTCCATATGGTATGTAGCCTTAGTGATGCAGACATCTCCATTATGCAAACACTACCTATGCTAGGCTGCAGATATCATTATCCAGATCATAAACTAATCTGAGGAGGAGGGGTCTTATTCTCACTTTTTCTCAAGTGAAAACAGACCAGATCGGACATTTTGATCTTCTGGATTGCAGCTCTTGTCTGGGGGGGAATACTTGCCTTGTCAGCACCGTCTCCCCCCTCTCCCCCCTCCCCGGTGCTCTCTGCAGCAGAAGATGTCTCCTTCAGCAGGGTGGGGATAACGTCATTGGCGATGTCAAAGAACTCCTTGTAGATCTCCTCGTCTTCACGGAAGTAGTTATACCTGCGAGGGTGGGTGAGAGGAAATTGATTTTTAAAATAACAACAGGGAGGAAGTCAGAATATATCCTGTGAGATCAGACTGAGAATCAGACCATGTGATGTCTTTGACCTGTAACAGGGCATACTTCAAAAAAGTTCAAACTAAATACGTGAAATAAACTGGAGCAATCATTTAGAGCAGTGATTCTCAAATGGGGGTACGCGGACCCCTAGGGGTACGTTGGGGTACTGCAGGGGGTACGTGAGATTTACAAAAAAACTAAAAAAAGTTAATTAAAAAAATACCATGCATGATTACAAAAATAATCTTAGTACAATAAGTTAAATAGAAAACACAATTTTATATAAAATATTCCTAGAACCACCTCATATAAACATGTCAAATGTGTGTATTGTATAGTATTGCATAATATATCATTTTGTTCATTGGTTTGTTAAACTTCAATTGAAAAACTCCTTGGAAAAAACTGTTTACATTTTTTTTCGTTATGTTATTATTTTTCATGCATAAAATTAAAATATCCTTAGTTTGTTGTAATGCATGCATGAAGGAGTAAATAAATCACACACTGAGGGAACATCACTATATTGGAATTATTTGTATAGGGTTTTTCGATCAAAAATGTTCGGGGTCGGTCAGGGGGTACTTGGCTGAGAAAATGTTTCAAAGGGGGAACACTACTGACAAGTTTGAGAAGCACTGATTTAGAGGATATAGTTAACAGTAGGGATGTAACGATATATCGAATATCGCGATAAATAAATGTCTCAATACCGTCGTGAGACTGACAAAATATACCGCGATCTTTTTAAAAAAATAATAATATTTTTAAACCTTTATTTAACCAGATGGTCCCATTGAGATCATCGATCTCTTTTTCAAGGCAGACCTGTCCAGCATGGCAGCAAGTAGGTTACAACATGAACATAAAACAACAGATAACACAAAAGGACATGGTATTTACAGGACTACATGTACACACCTAGAGACATTGACAAGTACTAACAGTATATTTATATCTCTGTCAATAAGCCTCACCTTCTTGGCAAACACTGTATTGTTTTTGAAGTGGCAGAGAGACAATGCACAGTTTGACCCACTGCTGTCACCCATGGCCAAAGCATATATCTCTCTCCCAGCAACATCAGTACCAAGCAAGAGAGTTGTTTCCACAGCAGGGGATTTTGTAAACGCCCAAACATCCCAGCTTCTACTTGGAAATGTGGACATGCTCATATTCCTGAAAGATAACCTTGATGACGCTGAGTGAGTGAGTGAGTGAGTGAGTGAGTGAGTTAGTGAGTGAGTGAGTTAGTGAGTGAGTGAGTTAGAGTTGAATTACTTGAAAAACTAAAGTGAAACTTGATTTATTCTATTGCAGGGTCTGATTATTATATTGTTGACACTTTAAAATACTACTATCCTACAAATCAGATAAAAATAAATAAATTGAAGTAAAAAAAAAAAATTCACATTTTTTTCTTTATTTTTCAATATCGCGATAAATATCGTACCGTGGACTTTGTATCGCGATATTATCGTACCGTGAGTTTTTGGTATCGTTACATCACTAGTTAACAGAGGAAAAATACATCTTTCATTTTCTTTCTCTTCTATTCATTCATCAATCATTATGTTTTAATATTGTATACCTCACCCATTTTTCATCAAAGATAAAAACATGATTTCTAATTCATAGATATTTATTTTACAAAATCTTCCCATTCAGAGTTTATAGTTAATCTTTTACTCAACTTCTTGTTTTTGCTACTATTATTACTAGAAATAAGTAATCTTTATTATGATTGGATGTGGTGTTTTCTTTCCAAGTAAGAGGGTTTTTATTAAGAGACATGCCAAAAGTACTTTACAGACAGTTGTTATAGATATTTCCCCCAAAGCAACTAAACGCTTTACATGACCAAAATAGGAAATGATAGTTCGCCTTCGCTCATTTTGAAGTTACATTTTCTTTGTACTTATCTAAAACATTGATTTATAATAGTCAACGTTTATTAAACAGGTTGATTATTTAACGCATTTCAACAGTGCAGACAAGTGAACTTTGAGCATATTTGACCTACAAAGAATCCACTGTTTTTGACACACTGTGTCCCAAGTGAAGAACAATGGGGAGCAGGAAGAAGGAAGCTGATGTATGGGGGGGGGAATGTGTGATGGGTCACTGGAGTTATTTTTAGCCACAGCTCATGAACAGTGTGTCTAAAGGGAGGAGAGGTTGGATGCTTCCTGTCTCACCACACCCTCTATGGGATTCTGCCTGCTGGGAGTGACAGAGTGAGAACCACAAGAGTACTCAATCTGAACCAGAGTGAGAACCACAAGAGTGCTCAATCTGAACCAGAGTGAGAACCACAAGAGTACTCAATCTGAGCCAGAGTGAGAACCACAAGAGTGCTCAATCTGAGCCAGAGTGAGAACCACAAGAGTGCTCAATCTGAACCAGAGTGAGAACCACAAGAGTGCTCAATCTGAGCCAGAGTGAGAACCACAAGAGTGCTCAATCTGAGCCAGAGTGAGAACCACAAGAGTGCTCAATCTGAGCCAGAGTGAGAACCACAAGAGTACTCAATCTGAACCAGAGTGAGAACCACAAGAGTGCTCAATCTGAACCAGAGTGAGAACCACAAGAGTACTCAATCTGAACCAGAGTGAGAACCACAAGAGTGCTCAATCTGAGCCAGAGTGAGAACCACAAGAGTGCTCAATCTGAACCAGAGTGAGAACCACAAGAGTGCTCAATCTGAGCCAGAGTGAGAACCACAAGAGTGCTCAATCTGAGCCAGAGTGAGAACCACAAGAGTGCTCAATCTGAACCAGAGTGAGAACCACAAGAGTGCTCAATCTGAACCAGAGTGAGAACCACAAGAGTGCTCAATCTGAGCCAGAGTGAGAACCACAAGAGTGCTCAATCTGAGCCAGAGTGAGAACCACAAGAGTGCTCAATCTGAACCAGAGTGAGAACCACAAGAGTGCTCAATCTGAGCCAGAGTGAGAACCACAAGAGTGCTCAATCTGAGCCAGAGTGAGAACCACAAGAGTGCTCAATCTGAACCAGAGTGAGAACCACAAGAGTGCTCAATCTGAGCCAGAGTGAGAACCACAAGAGTGCTCAATCTGAGCCAGAGTGAGAACCACAAGAGTACTCAATCTGAACCAGAGTGAGAACCACAAGAGTGCTCAATCTGAGCCAGAGTGAGAACCACAAGAGTGCTCAATCTGAGCCAGAGTGAGAACCACAAGAGTGCTCAATCTGAACCAGAGTGAGAACCACAAGAGTGCTCAATCTGAACCAGAGTGAGAACCACAAGAGTGCTCAATCTGAGCCAGAGTGAGAACCACAAGAGTGCTCAATCTGAACCAGAGTGAGAACCACAAGAGTGCTCAATCTGAACCAGAGTGAGAACCACAAGAGTGCTCAATCTGAACCAGAGTGAGAACCACAAGAGTGCTCAATCTGAGCCAGAGTGAGAACCACAAGAGTGCTCAATCTGAGCCAGAGTGAGAACCACAAGAGTGCTCAATCTGAGCCAGAGTGAGAACCACAAGAGTGCTCAATCTGAGCCAGAGTGAGAACCACAAGAGTGCTCAATCTGAGCCAGAGTGAGAACCACAAGAGTGCTCAATCTGAACCAGAGTGAGAACCACAAGAGTGCTCAATCTGAACCAGAGTGAGAACCACAAGAGTGCTCAATCTGAGCCAGAGTGAGAACCACAAGAGTGCTCAATCTGAGCCAGAGTGAGAACCACAAGAGTGCTCAATCTGAACCAGAGTGAGAACCACAAGAGTGCTCAATCTGAACCAGAGTGAGAACCACAAGAGTGCTCAATCGGAGCCAGAGTGAGAACCACAAGAGTGCTCAATCTGAGCCAGAGTGAGAACCACAAGAGTGCTCAATCTGAACCAGAGTGAGAACCACAAGAGTGCTCAATCTGAGCCAGAGTGAGAACCACAAGTGCTCAATCTGAGCCAGAGTGAGAACCACAAGAGTGCTCAATCTGAACCAGAGTGAGAACCACAAGAGTGCTCAATCTGAACCAGAGTGAGAACCACAAGAGTGCTCAATCTGAACCAGAGTGAGAACCACAAGAGTGCTCAATCTGAACCAGAGTGAGAACCACAAGAGTGCTCAATCTGAACCAGAGTGAGAACCACAAGAGTGCTCAATCTGAACCAGAGTGAGAACCACAAGAGTGCTCAATCTGAACCAGAGTGAGAACCACAAGAGTGCTCAATCTGAACCAGAGTGAGAACCACAAGAGTGCTCAATCTGAACCAGAGTGAGAACCACAAGAGTGCTCAATCTGAACCAGAGTGAGAACCACAAGAGTGCTCAATCTGAACCAGAGTGAGAACCACAAGAGTGCTCAATCTGAACCAGAGTGAGAACCACAAGAGTGCTCAATCTGAACCAGAGTGAGAACCACAAGAGTGCTCAATCTGAACCAGAGTGAGAACCACAAGAGTGCTCAATCTGAGCCAGAGTGAGAACCACAAGAGTGCTCAATCTGAGCCAGAGTGAGAACCACAAGAGTGCTCAATCTGAGCCAGAGTGAGAACTCATCCCTCACATCACCTAGCTTTGGGAGGAGATGGCTGATAAATGCATTTTTACTTTTATTTATTTAGTTTCAAGAAGTAATATCCCATCAAGGGGGAAAAAGCTTTGCATTGAACGCCACCTTGTGTTCAACTGATGGAACTACAACTAAAGAGGCAGTGCTGACGATGGCGACCTTATTATCATTTGCAACAATATAGCCCTGCTGTAAACATCAGCATTTCAAACAGATTGCTTAATGCCCCTTTCACAATAAAAGTAGGCTAACAACTATTTAATTCACCACATTTAAAACCAAACAATGCCATAAATCTCTCCTCTTTGAACGTTTATTTAGGTGCCCGACCAGATGCACATAAACAGCATCTTGTATTCAGTACGGTTAGCTTTGCTTGCTTTGGAAATGTTTGTATACATGGAAAAATAGAAATGATCTACAATTATTCAAGAAATGAAGAAGTAATGTCAACAAAGCAGCTGCCACAGAGCTTGGAAACAGACAGACCAGCAGACCTCATTTTAGATCATGAGACATATTGCCTTGCTTTTGGAGCCAAGGCAGAACGTATAAAAGTTAGCGCTGAGCTTCAGCCTGCAATGTTCAAAACAACAGATAAAGCCAGAAATCTAGGTGTAGTCATGGACTCTGACCTGAGTTTCAACAGTCACATTAAAACTGTTACTAAATCAGCCTACTATCACCTAAAGAATATATCTAGGATTAAAAGACTAATGTCACAGCAGGATTTGGAAAAACGTGTCCATGCTTTTATCTTCAGTAGACTCGACTACTGTAATGGTGTCTTTACAGGTCTCACTAAAAAATCTATTAGGAAGCTGCAGCTAATTCAGAACGCCGCTGCTCGAGTCCTCACTAACACTAAGAAAGTGGATCACATCCCTCCAGTTCTGAAGTCTTTACACTGGCTTCCTGTGTGTCAAAGAATAGATTTCAAAAATACTGCTGCTGGTTTATAAAGCACTGAATGGTTTAGGCCCAAAATACATTTCTGACCTCCTGCTAAATTATGAACCATCCAGATCTCTCAGGTCTTCAGGGACTGGTCAGCTTTCTGTCCCCAGAGTCAGAACTAAACATGGAGAAGCAGCGTTCAGTTATTATGCTCCAAATATCTGGAACAAACTCCCAGAAACCTGCAGGTCTGCTGCAACTCTTACTACTTTTAAATCCAGGCTGAAGACTTTTCTTTTTGCCGCTGCTTTTAATTGAACTATTCATATCTTAGACTGCACTGTAACTTTTATTATCTTTCCTTTTTATCTTTGCTTTTAAATGAGTGTTTTTAGATATCATTTTATAATATGTTTCTTAATGTCTTTCATTTTTGTAAAGCACTTTGAATTGCCTTGTGTTGAAGTGTGCTAAATAAACGTTCCTTGCCTTACAGGAGGAATATTGTGTTATTATCTGTTTTGTTGTCTTAGGAAACGGCTATTTTAACATTGACAGAATCATGATGATCATGTTTTATCATGCTTTCATTAAGAATTCTGCCTTTTTCGTTATTCCTGTTTGTACTAGTTGTTTTTAGATGTGACGGAGCATAGAGATTGTTCGGTTATCTATGTTGTTTTGGAACGTGTCACAACATATCCCTTGTCTTTTATCTGCAAACCAGATCTACCTACTATAGAAAGAAATGACCTGAATCCTCACAGATTGTAAATTTGACCTCACATCACCATTTGAGCAAGACGCCTATTCATTCAGGATTTAACCAGGAGTGTATAAGCAGCGGTGACTCACTCTTGCATGACCTGTGCTGCCTCGGACCAGCACTTCAGAGCCTCCCGCACATCCCGGTGTCTGTAGTGGAAGCCAGCCAGGTACATGTAAGGGTAGATGTGCTCGTTGTTGTAGAACTTCTGAGCCGAGCCGACAGCCTGAGAGGGAGAGCCCAGAAACACAGGAGGAATCACACATCCTGATCTCTGAAGATGGACAACACTCTCTCAATTCTTAGTCATATTTGTGTCAAGTAAAGGCAGAAAAGTATGATGATATTTTTGCATTTATCTTTGACGGAAACCATTTGAAACCCCATAGTAGTTGGTGATCAGATTTAGTTACTGAGAAATGGAGCCGACTATCACATGTAGATGTTTTCTAAATGTATAGCTCAACATTTTGGGATGTATTGCAGCCTAAAAAACATTTCCTCACATCGTACAAGTCGTCCTTGTTTTTCTTATTTACCTTGAGGTGGATTTGCAGGGGGCTCTCCTTGTCTGGGATTGGCTCCTGATCTTCGAGGTCTGCCAGAGTGCCCATGGCCATAGGATACCTGCACCACCGACAGAAAAAGGAGGGGGGTGTGGAATTTAGCAAGTTTACACATCGACTCTTCACAGTGTGTAGAAACTGTTAGACTTCAGAGACATTTCGTTCCTGACTAACTTCCCAAACTCTCACCTGTCCAGGTCGCCTCGATCGTACAGCAACCATAAGAGTTTCTATGTTCAGGGAGAAAGAAAAATAAAGAAATCCGTAAGAGCAACAGAAGTGGTTCATGAAAAAAAAGATCTAACAAGTTAGTGAAGGGCAAATAGTGGCCCCTCTATTTACCTGTCCCAGGCCTTCATTAGAAACAGGCTTTACATGACTTGTTTTTATAGAATGTCTTAGCATAGTCTAGCTTTTTTTTTTATGTCACTTGTCTAAATAGGGAATATTTATAGGGGTGAAATATATATCTTTTTTTTTTTTTTTAAATGTATGTTGATAATTTGGTATTATCTCATTTAATAATTTTTTGGAGCAGGTTCACTTTTTAATGTAATGTAATTAAACCCCTACCCATTAAGTATAAATACATTTATACAACAACATTTGACGTGATACGAGTATGAAGGAATTAGTGCTATGGAAATGTGCCCTATCCTGAATTTCCTAGGACAAACATTCAGAGTTTATGTCTAAATCCAGGTGTTACAGCTGCATGTTTCTATTATTTCTTGATTTAAAAAAGCCTTAATTCTGATTAGGGATAACATTTTCCAAACTATACATAATTGAAATTGAGGAATACATAAACATTGAAAATGTAAGATGGCCTGCCGAGATACATTTTGTATTGGAATCACTTCACATAAAAATGTTTAAGAAGAATATGGAAAAAGACAGCCAAACTAAGTTGTTAAAAATAAATACTAATCAAATGGTCTAATTCTACGGAGCCCCCCTGGTGACATTGATGAGAAAAATATTAATACGTGGCCACAAATTAATAATGCGTGGCCACGAATTAGTTATTACGTTCCCACGCATTAGTAATTCGAGGGAACACAATAATTATTACGCAATAACTAAATCCAGATAGTCTATAGAAACTGATGACTGAGTGACAACCATAGACAACACTAGCTAAACTCTGTACCGTAGGCTACGGCTATTATCGTGAAGCATGGATCATTTTGATTTGATTTGATTTTCATTTGGGTATGAATTATAATGATATCCTGCAATCCCTTGCAGTTAAGCACAGTGTCATCCTTAGCAAAAGGCACTTGATTCGGCTGCTGAAAATGCACGGTTTGAAACGTAGTTGAGTAAAGTTAGAACGATATTGGCAGATTCAGATTTCACGGATCAATAACTCCTGAACAAAACGTTATTCAGACACAAATGACGTCTCCTAAGTTCCGTGGTAAGGTTGACAACGAACTACAATCACATCACAAAAGCCAATATGCGCCGTCCTCGCTCCGAGCTGGACACATTACATTGGTCTCTATCTGCAGAAACGAGTGCTCAGGGACCGTCTGCAAAGTGCAACTCCCAAAAAAGAGAATATAATAATATTCAATCACTTCACTATTCTCCAGTATATTACTACCAAACTCATTACACACATCAATAGTCTCATGTTGCTCATACTACAGCAGAGAGTTTGGAAGAATATGGTTTGGAATAATTTTGGTGAATATTTATACTGTATAATAGTAACGTTATTGAAGATGATGTCATATTTATTGAAGATTTTACAATATAAATATTCACCAAAATAATTCAAAAGCACATTCTTCCAAACTCTCGAGCAACATGAGACTATTGATGTGTGTAGTGAGTTTGGTAGAAATATACTGTATAAACAGGGGTGCACATAACTTTTTTGCCCTGGTTCTCAAAGGAGCACCTGGAGATGTTGCTTGGTGCTCATCCTTAAAATGAAATAAACCGTAACTTTTGAGGGGTCTTGACTTTATTTGCCAGACACACGGCACTGAACACACATGCAGAGGTGAACACAGAACACACATGCAGAGGTGAACACAGAACACACATGCAGAGGTGAACACAGAACACACATGCAGAGGTGAACACAGAACACACATGCAGAGGTGAACACAGAACACACATGCAGAGGTGAACACAGAACACACATGCAGAGGTGAACACAGAACACACATGCAGAGGTGAACACAAGACAACATTAGCACGACCAGTAATCCTACAAGCTGTCATCACTACCCTCCTGACTGTTCTCCTCACTGTCTTCCTCTCTGTCAGACATGGTAGCTGATGATGTAGGCCTACTTCTTTCTCTCTGGTTGAGTCTGTGATTAGCTGCTTGCATCCACAAGTCAACAGCTGGTTTTGGGTCGAAAGTATCTGTTGTCATCTTAGACAAGTGGATGTAATCAAATAAGTGAACATAACCAATAACCTATAGCCAATAACAAATTAATGTAACTTATTTTATTTGTGTTGTTCATTCATATCTTATTTTACCTTAACATTTATTTATTTATGCATTTTTTTTATCTTTCCAGTTTTAAACGATATGTCTGGTTTACTGTCCTATAGTATGTTGGAATGATTTAAAACCTGTTTATCCCAATAATTATAAAGGAGTGCCTTGGAAATATGTGTTTACATAAATTGTGATCAAAACGTTTGAGACCCACTGAGATAACTTAGACTAAAGTGAACTATCTAAACACTCAGAGTCCTTCACCTCACTGAGCTGTAGTATCAGCCTCTCAGTCTGAATGGAGAGGACTCTCCCTCCACATTATTGTAGAAACATCTTCTTCTTATATCCGTTAGAGCAGCTAGCACCAGATTCTAATAACAACTGCGCCGGAACCGGTGCACCCTCCCTCTCTCCCCTCGCATTTTCGCTGTGAGCTGCGGGCGCCAGATAAGCCAACATCCCCCATTTTCATCACTTACAGCGCCCATCGTACAGGGCAAATGAAACGTGTAACCGGGGTGAAAAGGGTGTTACATTTACTTAATTATGAATGTTGTTACATCAAGGCCGAAAATTAGGATGAGCCCCAACGGTCAAAATGTTTGTTTCCCTCCCAGAGCTGCCAGCGCAGCGCCTCCACAGATCTGGCGCCCTAGGCGAAGATCTATAACGCCAGTGCGACGGGCCGGCCCTGAGTTCATATGCAACTCGCAAATATCTTTCTCTCTTTTCTCTTTCCTCCCTTCTCTCTCTCTCTTAATGTTGGTATGCAAATGCGCCTTTTTTCAAATGACCCGGTGCTCTTTTTTTGGTGCGCAGGTGCGCATGCGCACCTGCGCACCAGTTATGTGCAGCCCTGTGTAGAATAGTGAAGTGATTGAATATTATTGTATTCTCTTTTTTCGGAGTTGCACTTTGCAGAGGGTCCCTGAGCACTCGTTTCTTCTCCGGCTGCAGATAGAGACCAATCTAATGTCTCCAGTTTGGAGGACAGCACGTATTGGCTTTTTTTGATCAAAATGTGATTGTAGTTCGTTGTCAACCTTACCACGGTACTTAGTTCATGAGTTATTGATCCGTGAAATCTGAATCTGCCAATATCGTTCCAACTTTACTCGACTTGTTGTCACTCAGTCATCAGTTTCTCTAGACTATCTGGATTTAGTTATTGCGTAATAATTATTGTGTTCCCACAAATTACTAATGCGTGGGAACACAATAACTAATTCGTGACCACGCATTATTAACTCATGGCCACGCATTATTAATAGGTGGCCACGTATTAATATTTTCCTCACCAATGTCACCAGGGGGGCTCCGTATAATTCAGTATTCTCAAAGAGAAAATAATGGACATTTCAATTCCTTCATTCCAAGAAGCCAATTCTACAATTTTGGTTGGCTCTGATATTTAGGTCATCGCTTCCTCCAGCATCTACTGTGAAAGTGAGAATTGTGGTGTGTTCAGGGAGATTAAAAGAGCAGATATGCATCACCCCACAGTGCGAGGTGTGTTTCACCTGTTGGAGCTGCAGGAGCTCGGAGCTGTCCGTGTGGAGGTCCAGGGACGGGTTGATGGCACAGACCATGAAGGCCACCTCCATGTTCCTGTCACATTTCATGTAGGAGCCCTTCAGGTACAGCCAGCTCTGAGGGGACACACACAGAAGGTTAGAGAAAGTTAGTCAGAAATACATATTACTCGTCTTAATGTTTACATTTCTTGTATAAATCTATGGGGGGCTACATTCATCTTTATTTTGATAGCTTAAAGTGGACCTATCATGCTATATTTGAAACATATATTGTAGGGCTATACCTATATAAAAACATGTCTGTGAAGTTTTGTTTTCAAAATACCAAACAGATCATGCATTTTAGCCATGCCTCATTTCGCTCTATTTGCTCTTTTCCAGCCATGTTTTTGAAAGGGCTGATTCTGCTTTTGTGGCAGACTACAGCGCCACCTACAGGCCTGGCATATGTACTACAGCGTCTTGAGCGCTTTCGAGCGGTCTCTCATTCCCCTGATAGGTGGAGAGTTGCCCATATAGGCGGAGCACCCCTTTTCTGACGTCAGAAAAATTCAAATAATAATCAGCTCCGTTGCAGCCCCGTTTTTAGAGATTTGGGTACGGAGGAAAAGAGAGAGGGTTGTGTTTTCTGACACTTGGTGAGTTCCCTGACACACCGGGGACACATATTCATGTATAAAAGACGTACAAAAGTGCATTTTGCATGATAGGTTCCCTTTAAATAAAAAGGAGCAACAATAATTACGATGGGACATTAAATTATCAACTTCTCATTCACTTCCTGTAAAAAAAAAACTGATCTGCTCCACTGACTGATTACATTACCAAGCGGTTCAAAAATGAGTCACATTGCCTGGCTTAGACATTAGATAGTTTTGGTGACATAAAACTGAGTCATCAGTGCTAAATACAGCCACTAGGGGAAATTCAAATCAAGTTACTGTAAGCACATTTGACTGAATATGATGTCATAAACGATCATTTCTTGTTTCACAAAGAGCTGTCCAAGGAATATATATAATAATTACCATGTGAATTCTGGGATTTTCTTTAACACTTGTGTCGTCTTCCTATCAACTTTTGTCCTTCGGGTTTGAGTATTTAAAAAGCATATAGTATAAATAATGACCTGTGTTTCTGAGTTAAAAAAGGAAATAATGTTGAATGATCTTACAAAATTGTCCCCAAAAGAATTTGGAATAAAACCAAATGAAAGTGATAATTATTATAACAAAAATTTAAACGTAGAATACAAGTGAACATGTATTTTTTCTGGCACTCGCATAAAATAAACCTTTATCCTGAGATGAAAATATTTGGGTCAAATTTGACTCGAAGGAAGGTTAAATGTTTCATCATTATCAGGTAAGAGACAGTGATACACCTCACCTTCTCACTGACTCCTGCTGTGACTGTTTGTCCTCGTCGGTCCTCGTTACCCTTCCCGTGCCAGGTCACCTCGGCCGTTTCTTCCCCGTTTTTGTTAAAAATGACCCAGGCGTGGTCCTCAGACAGCGCCAGGTGGACGTCCTTTAGACCCAGAACCTGGCAGGCTGCCACCACTGCGAAGGCCACACCGGAGCTGTCCAGTTTGGTACCTGTTTCAATTTTTAAAAATAGTTATTTTAAGCCTTTAAAAACATCTTCATAAAACAAATGTTTAAGTAATACTTAAGAAGTTATGTCACCAATGTGCAATAATGTAAAAAACTAAAACAAACTTATGTGCAATATGTACCTAGTTAAAATTATAATAATTACTCTCTGCCTTCTTCGCTTTACAATCTTAATATGTAACAATAATCTGTAAGTAAGTACTATGTGCAATATATCATTTTACCTCTGTTATCTAGCTTCTACCAGATAACAATTCTACATGTTACATTTTGAATTGGAATAATTTTATTTTTTTTACTCCATCTTCACTTTTGCTGTAACAATGTACATTTCCCTCATGTGTGAATTCTGATTCTGATTCCTACCTGTGATGAGACTGAAGAGAGACTGGATGTGGGCCCGGTCTTTGAAGTAAGAACGACTTAGACTGTTCCAGATCACATCCGACACTTTCTTTACCAGTTCCCTGCTGGACCCTGAACCCGTCCTCCGGTACTGGGAGAGGTCCACCGCTCCACGGATCTGGGCCGTGAAACGCTCGTACAGTGCAGAGATCATGCCCAGTTCCACAGTGGGGAAGCAGGAGTTGGGACAGTCCACCTCCAGTGGTTCAAACCGGACCCCTGGCACGTTGATGGGGACGACCCGGTTCACAGCTAGGAAATGCTCGACAAATCCCAGGACCAGAGAGAGAAGGGCGAGGTCTGGCTCTGGCTTGTGGAGCTCAGAATCAAACAGCTGAACCACGCCATCGATCCCCCGCAGGGGGAAGTGCTTCTTCTGGGTTGAGTGCAAACCCATGATGTTCCAAAGTCAGTCCACTCAGATGCTCTCCTCACCTGCAGAACTGAATATGACACAGCTGTTAGTTCAACTCCAGCTCAGCACTGGCCATGGTAGTTTTTTAGCAAACATTTGTCAAATAGTGCATTTATTGGGAACTATTTTCAGTTGTGGCTTGAACCACATTGAGTTTGTATTTGCTGTAGGATGTGTATGTGGGATTGAGTCCAAATAATTAACAGTATGTGCTTTCATGGTAATAAAGGGCCATGTCACAGTTTAACAGAGTGGCTTATTGATGTGTTAAAAACAGGGCCGGTTTTTGGCATAGCCGGTCGCTTAGGGCGCCAGATCTGGGGGGCGCTGCGCTGGTAGCTCTGGGAGGGAAAAAAACTTTTTGGACCGTTGGCGCTCATCCTAATTTTCGGCCTTGATGTAACAACATTCATAATTAAGTAAATGTAACACCCTTTTCACCCCGGTTACACGTTTCATTTGCCCTGTACGATGGGTGCTGTAAGTGATAAAAGTGGGGGATGTTGGCTTATCAGGCGCCCGCAGCTCACAGCCAAAGTGCGAGTGAACGTGGGAGCGAGCGAGAGAGCGAGAGAGAGAGAGAGAGAGCGCACCGGTACCGGAGCTGTTGTTATTAGCTGGTGAGAGGCTCAGTGAGGTAGATAGTTCACTTTAGTCCAAGTTATCTCAGTGGGTCTCAAACGTCTTGATCACAATTTATGTAAACACATATTTCCAAGGCACTCCTTTATTAATCTTTGGATAAACAGGTTTGAAATAATTCCAATGTATACTATAGGACAGTAAACCAAAAATATCATTTAAAACTGGAGATAAAAAATATGCATGAATAAATAAATGTTAACTAGGTAAAATAAGATATGAATAAACAAATAAAATAAGTTAAATGTATTTGTTATTGGCTATGGTATTATTTGATTATTAAAATGTAAACCGATATTTTTCATATGGGTGTTTAGTAGGGGTGTAACGGTTCACAAACATTTCGGTTCGGTATGTACCTCGGTTTTTAGGTCACGGTTCGGTTCATTTTCGGTACAGCAGAAAAAAAATCACAAAACATAAACTATTTTTTTTAATTATTATTATTATTAAACTGTGAATAATGTATTCACTCAAATAAATACAAAATATAATAAAATAAACATTAAGGTGCAGCATTTCGATGAACTGAAATAATCGGTATTTGAACTGTACTGTACTAGTACCTAAGCAGCCAGTTTGACATTAGGACTTGCTTGTCATTGTATTTTCATGTTTTTTTAAAGAAAGATGAACTTGTCCACATTGCTTGCTGAAAGGGCAGATCTGCTGGCACTAACAATGTCTCCTGCTGTGGAGAACACCCTCTCTAGGGACAGGTAGCAGGTACAGCCAGGTAGCGCTTTGCTAACATGGCAACATAAGGATATTTGGCGTTTGTAATAGCTTTGGCTCGGTCTGAACTCTCTGCGAGTGGTGGAGGCTTACATGCTAGCGGGAGTTGGGTTTACACTTCAGTCTTTTTTCTTTTGGTACCGGTGATATTCACGTTCGGTGATGCCTTTTCAAATGAGTGTGCAAGTTTGATGTATTGCCAGCCACGTATCCAATTTTAGTTGAACAATGGCGACAAACAGCTTTGGTTCGGTCCACCTGTCTTTGGCCGTCATCCTTGTACGTAACTGCAAAACCAAAATGTTCCCAAACCGGAGACTTCAATGATGCTGGAGGATTTTCGAGCTCAACTTTATCTGCGTTCGCCGTTTCGACAGATCCTCAAATTACTGACTACATTTGAACGCATCTTTGTGACCAGCTCTCATAGTATGCCTCTCGTCCAATGAAATGACGTGCTCGCTCTATGACGCGCTGAACCCAATGTGAGCAAATTACTAGGCTTGTTTGAGACGCGTTGCGGCTCGCCTCGAAAGTAGACGAGAATAGCCGATCGCAGCTCGGAGTCCATGCTCGGAGTCGGCTTCGTCTTCTTCTTCTTCTCTCGGTTTTTTGGCGGATTGCAAACAACTTTAAGGTGCATACCGCCACCTCCGGAGTCGGCTTGACTCGGTTTGCATTTATAAAGAATGCACACATGTGTTTAATCGTTAATGTCAGATATGTACTAAGTAAATACATTTGTTCCTGCTCAAGATTAGATTCAACTTTATTGTTATTGCACATATTACAGGTACTGAGACAACGAAATGCAGTTTAGCTTCTAACCAGGAGTGCGACAAGCAGTAAAGTGAAAAGTAATGTACAAAATCTACAGAATAAAATATAGAATGAATTGAATGATGAATAAACAGTGAGGGGTATGAATACACTAGATATCAGCCTGTGAGCAGTATGAACAGTGTGTATGAATATGCTAAGATATATAAAGTATGAAAACGGTAAGCAGTGCAAGTATAGTATAAAATATATAGATATTAATTTCATGATGATAAACATTGTGGAACGATGATGAAAAATGTGAACGGAAGGGGCGACGTAAAACTGACACAAAAACAACAAACTTTTGCCGAGCCAATTGGAGAGTTTCATCACCAGCACGTGGTAAAAACCACCAATGAGCGCTCAGCTCGAGATACCAGCGAGTCGTTTCCCATCAAGCATTTCGCTTCCGCAGCCCGTGGAGAGGAACTGCGCCGACTCGCCGCGCCTCGCTCTCAAGGCTGCGGGCGTCTTTGTCCCGCGAGATTTCAACGTCTCATGTAGGCGAGCCTCCAGAGCAAGTCGGACAAAATGACTAACCATCATGCAACGCACTAGCAAGACGTTGATCGCAATTGCGCAGGTCTGCGCAGGTCTCCCTTGTCTCAAACAAGCCTACTCTGAATGCTGCGACGCAGCACCTGAGATTACTTCCAAAAAGTTGTTCACGTTCTCAATTTTTTACGTTTAACGTTATATTCGTTCGTGTACCGAACCGAAGGGCCCGTACCGAATAATTTCGGTACGGGTACGTGTACCGTTACACCCCTAGTGTTTACAGTTGTACCCCCTAGATCAGGTCTCTAGTAATTGTGTGCTCAAAGTGCACCAGATTGAAGCATTTTACTTTAACGTTTTCAAAAAAAAATCTTCCCGGGAGGGCATACCCCCAGACCCCCTAGAGCAGTGGTTCTCAACTGGTCAGGCCTCGGGACCCACTTTTTACTTGGTCAATAAATCACGACCCAACATTTTGAAGCACTCAAATCTATTCAACAAAAAATCGTGCTGTAATATATACGCTTTTCAGCATACAATATTAATGAAAGTGAAGTACAGTGCATATATCAATTCACAGAACTAAAGTATGCTTTTAAAAAGGTTTATGAGATGATGGAATCAAAGCTGTACTGTTTAAAAAAGGCACGCATGCTAAAAAGATTTTTAGAAATACTAACAAACTATGCATTCTGGTACACTCTGAGAAGAAAATAAATAAATCTATTACTACCCGACATATTAATAATATTTTATGCCATTGTTTGTTTTTCACTTTGTTCTGACAGCTTGCTGCTCCTCACAGAGAGAAAAGCAAAGAGGAGATAGTCTATAGAGGCTTCTCAATACTCAAATGTCCCCTCCTCGACTCCTCGGTCCTCCGGTAGTGACCCGGAAATGAATTTCAGCGCGCCATTTTGAAGGACGTCTCATTTCTCTAAATGCACACCGAGGACCGAGCGTCGAGGAGGCTCTCTGGAGGAGGCTCTCTGGAGGAGCTATAACCGAGGATACACTGATGGTTCCTCCACGGCTCCTCCGCGGATGCATTTCCGGGAACGGTGGAGGCGTGACGTACGGCCGGACTTATCTCAGCCAATGACAGCTACGCATACATCCCCTGGATATTATTTTAGAAACTGCTTTCATTGCGTCGCGATGTTTCCGGAGAGAACAGCTGTGAGGTCCGTGCAGAAAGCAGCAGAGGTGGGGACTCGAGTCACATGACTTGACTCGCATATTTTTTGACTTGAGACTTGCTTGACTAACATTGATAAAAGACTTGACTTTGACTTGGTATTCATGACTTGAGACTTGACTTAAGCTTGAGATAGACGACTTGAAAGGACTTGACTGTTTTAAAATTAAATATTTGCGTTTTAGTGAGATATTACGTTTAGTTTTTTCGAAAAACGTGATTATAGCGCCGTGCGCGCAAACCTGGCAACCCACTAGAAGGCAGGAGTGTCAGTTAACATGGCAGCGGCTAGCTTTACTCCAAAAATAGTGAAGTTTGGATTCAAGGATTATTTTTAGTGGTGCACGATAATTATCGGCCCGATATTAGGAATTATGACGTCTTCCCGATAAACCCGATAAAAGTATTAATAGCCCCGATAATATACAATAATTTTTTGGGTAAAAAAAGAAAAAATACTGCGGTGTGGGTGGATTGGGATGAGGGGTGCTTGTTTTTCACTGGGCTCCTCCCGTTTTGCCAGTACTGTGGTATTAGTGGTTTAGGAAGAGGGGAGTTTTTCAAAAATCCAGCGCTCCCCAACTCATGCCTGGCTGTGATGTAAATGGTGTGCGGCCGTGAAGCCAGGACAGTAAACAAACATGTCGCCGGTAGTATGGGACTATTTCAAAGTTTCAGAGTTAGATAGTTCGCTTGCTATTTGTATTAACAAATGCAATGAAGAAGTTCCACGAGGAGAGAAAAAGGCAACGAGCTATAATACTTCCAACCTGATTAGTCACCTGAAACATCGCCATCGCTACGATGGTGTGTTAAAAGCGTACGAAGACGCCTGCGATGCTAAACTAGCGGCGAATCCAAAGCCAGCTGCAAAGGCACCGGGGCTTTTACCTATCGACGAGGCTTTTGAAAAAGGCAAGAAGTTTGCCAGAGACGACCCCAGGGTTAGTTTTGTTCATAGTAGTAATGCTCATGTCATTTGCTCACTACTAGTCTTTTTTTTACCACCAGGTGTGCAAAAACTACAGGTACATTTAATATATATATATATATATATATATATATATATATATATATATATATATATTAGGGATGCACGATATTGGTTTTTTGAAACCGATACCGATAACTTCCTGCTTCTCAAGACCGAGTGAAAAACAAGCGCCCCTCATCCCAATCCACCCACACCGCAGTATTTTTTTCTTTTTTTTTACCCAAAAAATATATTGTATATTATCGGGGCTATTAATACTGGTATTGGGTTTATCGGGATGACGTCATAATTCCTAATATCGGACCGATAATTATCGGGCCGATAATTATCGTGCATCCCTTATATATATATATATTATATTATTATCGGTTATCGGTATCGGTCTTGAGAAGCAGGAAGTTATCGGTATCGGTTTCCAAAAACCAATATCGTGCATCCCTAATTATTTTGTCGATGACGGTAATAAGAAGAGAACAGCGATATGCAGGGTCTGCAGCATAAAGATCAGTGACACGACCACCACAACATCCAACTTCATTCGTCACTACAAAAAAAAAACACAGAGAAAGGTACGTGCATGTGCTGTGTTAGCTAGAAAGCTAACGTTAAGTTTAAGCTACGTTAGACTTGGTTTCAAATCGATTAAGCAAAGAGAAGACAAAACGGTAAATGAACACTAGAACCGCCAAGGGATTCATTTGGACTAACCCTGATACTGACGGGCTGTCAGGAGAGAGAGAGAGAGAGAGAGAGAGAGAGAGAGAGAGAGAGAGAGATTTCCCCTGTGTTATTATCAGAAGTTACTGTAACCTTTTGAATAATGTAGTTCATCTACTTTTAGTAGTTTGTTTAAATGTTTTAATTATGTTGTTTTTGTTTGTAAAAGTGCATCATTCCTTGATTTATTGTAAAATGAATCTGAACTTTTTTATCTGTTATGATGATAAACTGAAGCAATTTCTAAATTAACCCAATTAAGTGAGTTTTAAATCGTCCTACTTAGTTTATAAGGAAATTATGAAGAGGAACAAATTAAATGATTTGAAAATGATATCTATGTAGGCGCTGACGCTGTTGGCGGTTCTAGTGTTAACAGAAATTTTAATTAAATATGTGTAATGGCAAATGCAAATTAGTGGCTTTTCGGCGCCTACCGCTTTTTTAACGCTGATTTGGGTGACTCGTGTAATTCGTGGAGAACCGACGAGTTTTCGTTTTGGGGGGGGGGGGGTCCATTCATCAGTCCGACTGACGGACAACTTCTCACTTCAAAAAAGAAGAAGAAATCTAGACCGCAAAATAATTAAACAAGAGAATGCCTGTTTTTCCTGGCCAATGACAGGTTCCTTGAACACAACACGAGCGTAACGTCTCTTCACGTTAAGTTCCCCACCCCTGCGGTAAATAATAATAAAAACCCATGATTTATAATCTCTGTCTCCTATTGATCTGAGTATATTATAAAGAATAGCCAGTTAATTGAAGCATTATAGCACAGGCCTTTGTCAGATGGTATATTACGCAGTTTTTTTTCTGCTTCGAATAGTTCTCTCTTTTTTCACAATACCTGTGTTTGCATCCCTGTGTATGATTTTCTCACCTGGAGTTCTGCCTTTTTGAACAGACTTTTTGAGTCCTAGCTATATTGTCTGCAGTTCTAGGGTTAATATGAATCTAATATGATTGTCATCGGTCTAAATTAGATTTCAAATGATTAACTGTGTATGTAATGAAGATCATAGTGTGGGTTACATCCATTTTCATAACCACTGTCTTTTAACTGATTTAAATGCGGAAACTGGGCTTATTCATCAGAATGTAGTATGACTTGACTTGCTTGACCTGAGCAATGACTTGACTTGACTCTCATCACAGTGACTTGGGACTTGCTTGATACTTGTAGGTCAAGACTTGAGACTTGCTCATGACTTGCACATGTAGGACTTACTCCCACCTCTGGAAAGCAGAGCAGTGTGTAGAATGTATATCACTCAGTATAACAGGCCTACATTACTCTCTTTATTTGCTTTAGTTTAGTAGATATCTACAAACAAAGAGTCAATATTTTTCTAAAACCATTTAGTGCTTCACATAATAAAATACACAACGGCTGTAGCCTGATTAGGCTTTAGGAGCTGTAGGTTGGTGTGTGGTACAGTGTGTGTGTGTTGTACAGTGCGTAGATGCGGCGGACAGACGGGTCTCAGTTGGTTTGGTGTCCTTACTTTTAATACTTGTAAACTTTTGGCCCGTAATTTCAATTCCCCATTTCAGCGACCAGAGAGAGGGGGGGGGGGGGGGGGGGGGGGGGGGGATATATCCAGTCTCTGATTGTGTTACGTTATTATGAGAGTGCTCTCATACTTTAAAATTGTATATATTTATATAAATATATTTGTGTGTGTGTCCGCATCTGTAGCCTGTTATTGTCTCATTATACCGCACTCAATTAATTCAAAGTAAATATGTGGGGCAACAATGTTCAGCTGATCTAACAGATTATAAAATACAGTGCTATGACAAAACACTCGACACGTAATAATGAACGGACGTCGCTTTAATATGACCGCTCAGAGGAGAGGAGTTCTCATTTCTTTAAACGTCTGCTGCTTCCCCTCCTCTCTCCTCGGTCCTCCGCTCGCATCTCCTGTGGGCGGGACTAAGTCTCGAGGAGGGGAGTCGAGGAGGGGAAATTTAAGAATTGAGAAGCCTCTTGTGTGAATTACTTTGTGGGTAAGGGTAGATAGCCCCCATTGTTCTGTGACCTGTCAATCATCAAACCAGGGGTCATATTTCATTATTTGTTCATTTGTATCTGAAGTTGTACCCATGGATGTATAAAGAATAGTTCTACCCCAAAGTTATTCTCCGTGGGGACTTCCGGCAACAATCTTGATTCTGATTGGCCAGAAGACTCGGAAAAACATCAGCAAAGATGTTTTATTGAGAAGATGATCACTACGTGACTACTGGTCTCCGGTACTTCCAGTCCAACGCATACTGCATGCACAGCGTTAGAAAATTGGGTCTTCAAAATAAAAGTTTGACTTTTTCCCCACAAAAAATAATAATATATATAATTCAAATTTTCAAAATGTTTTTCTTCACTCACACATCCACTCGAAACGGGTGTGCGACCGACTTTTGGGTCGCGACCCACCAGTTGAGAACCACTGCCCTAGAGGATGTGACGTCCATTCCCCAATTCAAACATGTTCATACGATACTGAATACATTTTAAGCCTTTTTGATGTAGATTACCTATGTCAATACATTTGTTTGTTGTGTATTCGTCTTTTGTAGAGATTGTTAATGTATTCTTTATATAGCCTATTCTATGTGTATTCCTTGGATACTCTATTGATCTTTATCTTTTCTACTGTAAAATCTCGCCTAGGGCAGCAAATTGGCTAGAACCGGCTAGGGCTGAACGATTAATCGATTTTAAATAGAAATTGCGATTTTAAATGATGCGATTATGAAATCGCAAAGCCTGCGATTTTTTTCTTGTGTGTCCGTCATCCACACCAATCAGAAGTGCTGTGCTCCACATGTACCAGCCATTGTTAACCAATCAGAAGTGGCCCATGATAGAAGGTGATAGACAGATTGATCCAATGACCTGCCAAGTGCTTTTGAAAGTGCCTGCCCTTTCCAAATGGCTTCCAATGGAGCTTTAGATGGTTTGGTGAAACAAAGCATCTGAGTCAGGTTAGTAATGCTCCATCACATGTTTTACATCTATTACAGGGTGAATCTTAAACTGAAGCTTGACTTTAAAGCAACCCAACGGAAGTTTCATGTAAGTTTAGTTCTTTCACTCGTAGCTCGGGCTGCGGGGGTGCTAGAGACTGGAGTACGTTGATACGACCTTCCTAGCCGGAGATATGGCCGCATTTTACAATAAACTTCCGTTGGGTCGCTTAAAAACAAATATCGCAATTCGAATCGCAATCGCAATATTTGTCAGAAAAATCGCAATTAGATTTTTTCCCAAAATCTTGCAGCCCTAGTACCGGCCCTGGTTAAAAATAATAATATTTGAAAACAATGGTGATCTATGGTACAGAGGAACAGGCTAAATACAGGTAATCATTCAATACTTAGTGAGGCACATTCATTGTTTGCTCGGGTCAACACATGGGATATGTTAAACATTAAATATAAAAACATTTCAGACTTTCTATGTAACTGTTGCTTTGCCAGTTATTACTTATAATACTATAACATGTATTCTTGGGAATACATTAAAAATGCACAAAAGGCTGAAAATACACGACCACAGATCTATAAAAAGGCAATATTGCTGTAAAAAATGTAAAAGCCTATTAGTATTTATCAATGATGTTGTCATATATTATATGAATCTACTATGAACACTTATCTGCATTTATACACATTCTGTTAATAATGTGAGCAATAATTATGATAATAACAATGTTTTTCTACCTGCTGCAGACACAGAGCTAGACACTGACCCGGGGATGAGCAGCTTTGGTTGCATAATGCTGGTTACATCAACGCAGCTAACATGGGCTATATGGCGCTTTGGTGGGCGGGGCACTCCTACTGCTACAGATGTAGCCACATTCAATTCAAAGCTACAAAAGGATGCTCTTCTACGTTCTTTCTTCCGATTAATGCTTCGAAAGGTCCACGCATGACCAGAAACGCAGTAGTACTGCAGTATTTACTACCGACCAGGAATACTCTGTTACCGATAGATTCATTCATTTGCAAGCCGGGTGTACTGATCCAGGCTAACTAGCTAACTAACTAAGTTAAGTAAACGTTAGCTAACCATTTATGCTTGCTACTACTGTTAGTTTGCTGAATGAATTTATTGTAAGATAAAGTACACAAATGTACCAAACCAGAAAGCGGGCCACACACTGTGACAAACAGCTCAGGAGCAGCTGGATGAATGACGGCTGTTGTCAGAAGCTACTAACAAGCTAACGAGCTGCTAGTTAGCTAAACTCACCACTTTTGGATAACGCATATACCCCTTGGACTCTAGCGAAATACATCATCACAACCTGCCGCAATACTGACTTGCTCTAAACTCTGAGTAACTGAGAAATAAACCATGTGTGATAACATACCCGTATTCTCACCGCCTCATCCACATGTTTTTGTTTGTGTCCCCCTTCTTTTGCCGCGCAGTTCAGTCTGCCTGAAATTCACTTGCAGTGTGTTGCCAGTCTCTACGTTTGCGTAACGGAGTAGATCTTATAACAATATGGCGGACGCTGCCAATCGCGGTCGAGCGCTGATAGACCCATCCCTATGGTTGTAGATCTTAAGCACTGCGCACACAGTTTCCCATCGTGTAGCCTGGGAAATGTAGTTCATAATGTGTTGTTCGTAGACTCTGCCAGCAGAAGGCGGCAGGGAGCCGTCATGTCATATATTGCTACAAAATGGAACAAAGGTAACCATTGCATAATGGAAAACAAGCTACAGTAAAATCCACACAATTTGGACCCTTATAAAAGTGTACCCATAGCCGTTAAATCGTTACATCTTCATAATTTAAAAGCAATATAATCAACGTGGTTCAAGGTGGACATTTGTTACAAATAGCTCATACAAACTCTAGTTAATGTATTCAACCCATCCACCTTTATCCCACATTTATTATACACTCATATTTTGGTATTATTTATTCAAATTCTAATAATGTAGCCTCCCAAATCTAAAATAGCTATTGGTCAAAATGCAAAATCCCACATTTGTTCAGAGCAGGTATAACTGTGTTCAGGAATATTCCTCGTGCTGCCTTCAAGTGCTGTGGGGTATTTCTAAATCATGCGTGAACTTCACAACAAAATTAGATATTTTGTCTAGAACCATGGCAGTTCACTGATACAAAGTTCCTTGAATGTAGGGCGGGTGTAGGACAAGTAAAATAGGGGTGGTAATACAATAATTTGATGGTGTTATTTTATCGTACATTAACGCAGTTGCAACTCATGACAGTTGACATATAGGAGCCTCAACGGAGACTTTGAACGCGTCTCACCCCGACATGTTTTTTCCCCTCCTCCATAGTCCTCCTTGTTTCCCTCCATCTCTGCTGATCTGTCAGTGCTCGGACGTTGTGTTAAGGTGCAGACCCGAGTCCCGCTCTTGGGGAAATTTAAGGAAAGTCAGACAAAATATACGTCTTTAAAGGACAGTATACGACAATTAATATCGAGACGACAGACATTTTACCTCCTTTGTGCAGTTGCTTTGAAACTACAGTAAAATGGATCCAATGACTCAGTCCGCCCAGATATCATCGTCGCAAGGGATTGCCGATGGACAAAATGCTGCTGCCAAAGAATCAAAACCATCCGGTAAGAAACAGTCTAACGTTAAGTTAGCTAGACTAGTGTCAATTTAAACTTACCCTTAATTATTTTTTAACCATGTGTGTCGTTTAAACATAAGGCATTCATAATTTCATAGGTCTAAGGTAACGTCAATACCATAACGCAATACCTCAATTTAGAACTGAAGGCATTGTATTGTAAACACATTTTATGATATTGGGTCTGTTGTTGGCATGATTGTTTAAGCTTATTTAGTTTTTAATGCGAAACACCTTTGGTAGTGAACTTATCCCAACACACCGCTGTCAATCATGCCCCGTAGCTTTGGCCCGCCCCTGGTACACGCGCTTTCTTCTATAGAGGTTATAACGCCGCGCGCAATGTCTATTATAAAATTGTCAGTTTTAAGTCGCTTTGCTAATAAGTGGTGCTTCCGTCCCGTCTATAGCTAGTGTATATAGAGCATGTAGAGCATGAGGCAAGACATTCAACTCAACTGTGTATTCGGCCAGCTAAGCAGCGAAACACATTTCTGGGTCGACACTGGTCCCCACTGAGCAGCTATTTAATCCGACGGAGACTGCGTAACTAGCAGTGCTAATTTAGAAAAACAAAAAAAAGAAATGTTGTTTTGTATTTTTGCTGTTAGCCGAATTTAAATGTAAATCATATGACGGCGAATATAGTCTTGCGTCATGTTCTACGAGATGGGTATGTTTGTTAATAAGTAAACATGACATATTATTTAAGAACAAGGTTTGAGGTGACAAAGCGTTATCGGTGCGTTATGTTGCGATGCTCTGCACTGCAGATGCATTGTTACTGGGCAACTGCCAGTGAAGGGAGCACCTCTTAAAGGCGCATTGCCCTTTTGTGTCTTCATAATAACAGTCCCAGACAATAACAGCATGCCTGAAGAGCGTTGGTACTGTCATCCATATTTGTCCAATTATTGTCACTACCTCCAGTTTTTAAGTCTTTTTCGATTTTCAGGTTTCACTGTCTAGAAAAGTCTAATTTAAAAAAAGTAATAGTTTTGTTGCCCAGGGCCTTATTGACAGGTTATTGTGTTTTTAAGGGAGTGGCTGCTTTCCAATCCATTACTGTGTTTGTGTTGTGTTAAGCTTTATGATTTACACTCCATGGCTCAATCAGTCACTACCACCAGAGCCATTTGAAAATCCTTCAAAGCCATGTTCTGTTAATCAAAAGGATTGTAGGCTTTGAAGAATTAAAGCACATGTGGTCATGGGCTTCAACTGGATATGGCAGGGTGTGGCCCACGATGCCTCAATGAGATTCAAGTTTATCACCAAGGACAGGAGAGAAAATATTAAATAAAAGATAACTACAAATCCACTGGGACACATACAGAAGCAAACAATGTCACATCATAAATCATTTAGGACCATCATTTCTTGCCATACCTACAATCATATGATGTACCGTATGATTATTAGCTTATGACAACAATGACCAAATTATAATTTATTTTATTTAATCTCTCTCAAAAATATTTAAGGATTGTTAACCTTATATATCTATATTATGTTTAAGATATATGTATAGGTTGTTCTCAAAACTGTGGCATGAACTTCATAAGAGCTAGTTATTTTCTGACAAATTGTAAAGAAGCAAAGATGGCTGTTTCTATATAAATAGTTTTCTGGCAGCCCTGAACAAACTCAGAATGATTAGGGTTGCTTTTTTTGTAACATTCCATAACAGATAACAGACATTGACTTCTGCGAACCTTAGTCATTACAGCCCTGCTGAGTCATCTACGAATGTGGGCTTTGGGCCTATCCCTGCATCGTTATCATATGGAAAGACAATGTCTTTAAATCTGTTTTTCTTACTAGTAAATAACTTCCACTTGAGTTTGCAATTGAATGTCACTTTTAACAACTTATATGTATATATGTTTGTGTAGTTTTATTTTACGAAGGGACTTCCATTTAAATAAAACCAACAAAATGAAGATATTTCTTGTTGTGAAATAGTCTACAGCTAATGATTTATTTGTTATTGATTAATCTGTCAATGATTTGATGAATGTGCTTAGGCAGACAGACAGTTAAAAGGTACACTGTTGCTTTGAGCAGTCATTCTCTATGATGTCATTGCCGTAATGTACTAATCACAGTTACATTATTTATAGTCAATTCGTTGTGTTGCAATATTACCCAAACAAGACTGGACACAGTCACAAATCCAGGCCAATGGTTAAGCTTTATTCACCTGTTTATCATATTTTATAAAAACATCCCTGTTCTCTGATCTGCTCCTGTTTTACTTTGCTGTCCATTTAAAAACAATCTTTTTGTCTGTAAATCTAGCACAACGTAAACTACTTCAGCAGTCATTCCCTCAGTACAACATCAGAAATACATGTTCTATTCACTTATTCATAGGGTTATCTAAACCATAGTTAAGTCCTTCTTTAACCACATGTTTACCAATAAAACCTGGCTTTTAATTTAAAACATCTACAGAAAGGATTGATTTGTAGTTTTTGCTGGTCACATACACAAAAAAAAAAAAAAAAAAAAATGTTGCCTCATAACTTATATGGAAGTATTCTTTCTAGTTTATCATGACATGTTCTTTTGTTCATTGCCCATGCCTTATTGCAGTAGTTTTCATAATAATCTACACAGGTCTATCTTTGCCTCAGTGGATGTAACCTCTACAGATGGCCTGGCCCTCCTCTCCAGCTCCTGTCTGTAGCTGAGACTATTTCACTTGACTTGCACACTGATGAGTGACAATAGTCACAAAGGAAGTGGCACACTTCAAAATGAGGACCTAATTTCTGAAACCACATTGCATCATATTTTCCGTGGAAGTTAGCCTTGGAATCAATCTAGGTATTGCTGCATTATGTGTAATCTCATCTCAAACAGTGAGAAGTCTTAGACCCTATTACACAAATTGCTGGCCTTTTACAGTTCTATTTTGATCTACAACCTTTTAAATAATGTTCACTGAAGAGAGAATTGGGTTATTTCCTGTGCTTTGATACTGTTTTATTGAAAACTCCCAATTTTTTATCAAACATCCTTAATTTTCCCAACAACAGAGAAATGTACATTTGATGAGTTACCATAACTGTACAGTGCATGACATTAAGGATTTTGGGAGGTGGCCCTGTGGGCCATCTAATGGCGCATTTCCACTGCAGCGGGTAGCCCCATTTAAGCGTCCTTAACCGTCCTCAAGCGGCCAGGCCAGTTTTTGGTGGCCTTTCCATATAGCCTAGTACCGGCTAGCGGGTACTTTTTCCCTCTTTTTCCGGCCCCATAAAATCGTGGTTCCCTCAGACCAGGGCCAGGGCTGAACTAGTGACGTCAACACTCTCAGCTGCTGATTGGTCAGAGAGAATTGTCACAAGATCGCGCGCGAGTTCATCCCTAGCGTCGCATATATATCTAGAAGCAAGCTTGCAGCATTTTTATAAACAGCATTTTGTAAACGGATGAGCTACAAACATGGCTACGTCTAATAAGAAAAGCACACCGTGGTCGACCGAGGAGGTGACGACGTTCCTTCATCTCATTGGGGATGATCAAATCCAGCGGGAGCTCGACGGAACAACTCGAAATGTGAACAAAAACAAAGCCGATCGCCCCGCCTACACTGCGTTGCTACCCGAGGCCTGAGCGAGGACGCTTAAACGGGGCTACCCCGTTGCAGTGGAAATGCGCCATAAGCTAATTTACAGATGGCCCTGAGCCCAATAGAGATTGCCCTGAAAAATGCGCGCGTACGAAATGACGCACGAAGGGTTTGGGGGGCCTCCCCCTAGAACATGTAGATGTTTGCAGGTCTTAGATGCTGTCTGGTGCATTCTCTAGACTGAATTATAAGATGAACCACCACAATATTATATTATACAATTTCAATTTTATTCTTCATTTCACTTGTTTGTTTGTGTTTGCTCGCTTGCATGCCCTGCATAGCTATAAGAAATACTTAAGGGTCATTCCAGAATTGGAGGACAATTTAGACACCAACATTTTTGAAAAATGAACCTTTTATTTTATAATGTTTTTTTATGTATTTAGGAAAAACAGATAATAAACCATCAAAAAAAGTGATTTGCCCAGCTAGGCATCAAATTAATATTTTCCAATTAAGAATTACCCGTTACTCTAATTATAGTAACAGGATTGAAAGTAACAGGGTTAAAAATCAATGCTAATTTTAGCTTTAACCTCAGGAAGTATTGCTAGATGTAGCATGTAATGCTACTTTCAAGGCAAGGACAAACTTGGATATCTAATGCAAGAAAGATAACTTTGAAATTAATATGCTTTATTCTGATAATATCAGTAACAGGGTTGAGTGGGTCAGAGTGCCACACTCTTTTAAGTTGTTGGTCAAGACACTTTCCATCTGATGAAGGCAAATGCCTTCCCAGATGTAAATGAGTAGAAAACATTACATTCAGTTATAACTGCCAAAACAAACGTTATTTCCACTATTATGGACCCTGTTAAAAATGTTTGTAATGTTATCTACTGTAAGTTGGTCGAACGAATGCCTCCTCATCCGGAAGCTGACCGAGCAGACCCGAGCAGCAGTCGAGAGGAGCCGAGCGCATCCGCGAAGCACACAAAATGGCGATGTTAGCCGGCAAATCTAAATCTCTTAGGTCAAAATGTCCGGTCAAAATAATTTCCCTTTAGCGCAATACCGCTTCAGTTGCGCCACTTATGTGACAGACAAGAAGAGTATGTGACAGACAAGAATAGTCAATTCTAATGTCTAACACTTAATGTGGAGAAAGAGATGTCCTGTATGGGTTGATTGTGCGTTGATCTGTTGGTAATGCCTCGGGGTTCCGGTGGGCATGTAAACAAATGCATAATGCTGCGCTATACTTTGTGGCCTCACCCAGTTGCATAGCAACACTTATTGTGTAGGTGTCTTTTAATAAGCAGGTAGTCATATCATTAGCTAGAACTAGCTGGATCTGATCGATATGGACATAAACGCGAGTCTGATCTGACAGGAGAGAGATATCAGCTGCTGCTGACGAGTCGACACGCAGCTCTGCATGATCACATGCAGCGGTGAGCGGACAAAACACACACTTCAGGTTAGAATATCACACGTAGCTATTTTAATGACCTCTCAAACTACCTAAACTAGTTATAGATAAGTTTAGTTTTACTGTCGGGTCACTCATTACTGATCCGCGACCTGCATGATACTGGCATAATAGATTGCCCGATCGGGCAACCAGCAGGTGAGGCTTCATTGCCCGAGCTAAACACTAGATGGCCCCGGGCCATCGGGCAGTCCTTAATGTCGAGCCCTGCTGTAATTGCTGTGGTTCATAGTGTACCAAACCTAGTGGTTTTAATCATTCATATCAATGTTGTTTGAAAAACTCATATTTCAGTAAATTGGAAACTATAGGTATTCAATTTAAACTACCTAAACAATTAAGCTCACAAGCAAAGCTTCAAGGAACACAGAGTTCTTTCAGCCTCCTTTCCCTCTCTCTACACTTGTCTTGCCAGCACGCCCCCACCCACCCACCCCTGCAGGAGCAGACTATATCACTGCAGCCACAGAGGCATCAGAGAGCCCTCAGGGTGGACAGTACAGGGTAGCTAGGGCAGGGAGGAGACCCGCCCTGCACCATCATTTCCACTAGGTTATGAGCTTAAGAAGCCCTAAATGCACAGTGGCAAAGCTTCCAACTCAGGTCTGCCAATGATAGATTTAACACAGATGAACGTAGTATTTGGATTGCACACTGTGACTTAATAGGTGCTTTCACACTGGAGTACTTTTCCCAGTATAGTTCCGATAGTTCTTGAAATGTTGTGTTCACACCAAAAAAATCCGGAACTAGAACTTAGTTCATGAGAACCTTTTCACCCCCTTTTTAGTCCCTGCTAGAGAGCAGGTACTTTCATGGGAGAAAAAGGTTCCCATTTCTGATTGGCTGGCCGGATTGCAAACCAGGCCCCGTAAAACTCGGAAAGGTTTTGTGAAGCCGCCATTGTATTTGCTGGCATTAGCATTATTAGCATTTGCCCAGCGCACCAACAGAGAGAGAATAACTTATGGCAACACAACAAAAAAAATGGGAGCGGTGGAGATGAGGAGGTGTCGGCGTTCTGGCGATTTACTCGGAAGGCTTCAGTAGAAGCTGCTGGGAGTCCCAGCAGCTTCTACTGAAGCCAGTCCCCAACTCCGGGGACTTCCGGCCGGGGACTTCCGGTGGCAGTATATGCCAGAGATGTGGACTCGAGTCACATGACTTGGACTCGAGTCACCAATTTGATGACTTGAGAGACTCGACTTGACAAAATCACAAAACACTTGCGACTCGACTTGAACACCAATGACTCGGGACTTGAGCCTTCTGACTTGAGGTGACTTGATCATTTAATTCAGAGGTCTCCAACACGCCAATCGCGAGCTGCCGCTAGAAGAGCAGACTCTCGTCGGGGAAAGCAGAATCTTCAGCCGCTCCTACTCTTGCTGAGAATCCTTGCAGGCAGGGGCGGGTCTTTATTTAGCTGGGCCACCATGCGGCCAATCATATGCGAGGACACACTAGGATCATACCATTATGTGAAAGAAGGGTGGGGGGCACAGCAGGTGTAGTGGTACAGGCCATCTGCACAGAGCGACGGGGAGACGGATTTAAATGCAAGCGTGTCGGAAAAAGTCAAGAAATGAGCGAAAACCGAAAAAAGAAGCAGCATCTGGCTGCTTTTCAATGATATTGGAGAAAGCAGGATTTGTAAAATGAAAAAAAAATGTTTTGGTAACCACTAAGCCCATCCTGACTTGAGACTTGACTTGGACTTGAGCGCAAAGACTTGAGACTTGACTCGGACTTGCAAAGCAATGACTTGGTCCCACCTCTGGTATACGCCGTGAAGTGGTTTTCGGCCTGCCAGTAAACCCAAAGCAGAAGAAGAAGAAGTGACATCAGCGGCTTCATTTGCCTAATCCTCCCTCAGGGACCGGTATGAACGCGATCTGCTCTTTAGTTCATCAGAACTATAGAGTTCATCAGAACTAAGTACTTGGTGTGAAAGCGCCTAATGAAGGCAGTCGAACCCTTATCCCAGAGACAAACATTTAACATTTCTACATAGCTTTATTTTTGATGTAACCAATGAATTAGTATATGAAAGGATGGTTTTGACAAACTCACAGTGATTGATCAGCAATCCTGCAGTTCCCCTCAGCTCTACAGAGGTTTTTAGCCTCTTTTAGCTCAATGTTGTGGCTGTATGACCCACACTCTCTGATCTCTTTAGCCTCTTTTCCAGCAGCTGCAATCAGCTACTACAAAAGTGAGAATGACTGTTGTCCATCAACACTAAGTAGACAGACAAGTTGTGGAGCATGTGGCAGCTAAAGAGCCATATGTTTTGTTCTCAATAGTTGGTAGAAACCTATCCTTTAAAGAAGGATTAGTATTGGGATTCATAGAGTGGCAAGAAGTGCAACAAAACAAGAATTCTAGCATTGTACTATATCTTCTAGGATAATAGAGATCTATCTGAACAGCTTTATAAGGTTATGACATGTCAGATGTTGTGTTTTCATTTTGTTCACTGCCCCCTAAAACATGACTTAATGCACCTTTAAGTAAAGCAAATGTTTAGTTAAGCAGCCTGAGCTAACTCTTTTGATCTGCTCTGGTTATATAGTTGGACATTATTCAGCTTTGATTTCTCTCTCTGCTGTGTTTAAAACACCATCACATGCATTCTTGTTCATTCCTCTTTAGATATATGTTGTGTTTTTGTAACATTTCCACAGCTTAACAGCAGTCATCAGCGTTTTCCAAAGATGCCATAAAGTATGTCTTTCCATAATGACATACTTGTGATTTTTGTTAATGTGTTGAACCATGATATTTATGCATGCTTTTAATTTCGAAGGATCTGAACTATCTTATTAGTTGTCATGTTTATGTCTACAGGTTACATATAGTTTTTGACCAGTATCTTTTTAATTCAATTCTCACCAATTTGTCCCTAAAAAGAAATGGGGAAGCACAAGAAAGACGTAGACATAGCCCTCATTGTGGTTAAAAAGTGAAGGTGTGGTGTGTTCAGAGAGTATGAATCGGAGAGAAGGAATGCTGCACATCGAGGACACACCAACCCAACCTCCCCAGCCTGTATAAACTCCTATTCAGCGTTACTGAAACAAGACGCTGCAACTCCCTTGGTAAACCTGAAATTCTTATACATCTTCAGTCCTTTCCCATGAAGAGACATTTCTCTCCTGGCATCCCCAACCAATCTGATGGAATGGAGGTTGAGGTGTGAACACTCTTAAACTTGTAACCTTGAGGAACTGTTTGCAGGTATTTGGCCCCTTACATTCCAGCCGCCACTTTTTTGGTTTCAGGCTTCCCATTGGATTCACGGATTGTCTATCATCAGAGAATTAAAGAGTTTCAACATTAACGTTGGGTGATCCGGTCTGGCTTGCAGTTGGCATTCCAGTTCATCCCAAGGGTGTTGAATTGAAGATTCAACTTATTGTTATTTCTCTGCATTTGACCCATCCTAGTGTTAGGAGCAGTGGGCTGCCATTATGTACGGCGCCCGGGGAGCAGTGTAGGGAACGGTGCCTTGCTCAGGGACACCTCGGTAGCACTTGGTCTTTCCAGGACTTCAACTGGTGACCTTCCAGTTACCAAGCCCCTATGGACTTCGTCACCACCGCCTGAATGGGGTGTAGGTTAGGGCTCCAGTCTTCCAGGCCAAACCGGGAACACTATTTCTTTATGGAGCTGACTTTATGCAGGAGGACAGTGTAAAGTAGAAACGGAAGTGGCCAAACACAAACTGCTGATCCAAAGTTGGTAGAACACTACATCATTGTATGCTGTAGTGTTAAGATTTCCCTCAAGTAAAGGGCCTCTACCAACCATGTAAAAAACGAACCAAAAAGACGGCGTTCTTGATCAGGGCTGCCCAGTTACTATTTGCTGTATAGTGTACATGAAAACTTGGACCTGTTGGTTTCTTTAGCAACATAAGTCCTTGGAGAAGTTCTCAAGACGAAATAGTGTTGTGTAGTTAAGTGGCAGGAAGCACTTCTGTTTGCTCATAGCCACACTAAAGCAAAGGGAGAAGGGCTTTTGTCTGCTGCTAAATTCAACTGTCTTGGTCTTGCCTGCATAGCAAATATAAGTGCATGTGTTAAAGTTATTGAAGGTTTACTGTAGTATATAATAAGAGCATATGCATGGGGCTACTTTGTTACCATTAGTATTGTCTGGTCTTTATTTGTAGCTTTTCGTATAGTATGTAGAGTTGATAAGGCTGGATAAGTTCACTCTTGTTTTCTCCTAATTGTACTGCCTTTATTTGAATTTGAATAGGTCTGATGGATAGGACTTATTTTCTTCCTCTTCTAGGATGATCATACTTCTGTACTTTTTATTTCCTTTTTCAGATTCCTTTCTTTCCTCTTCGCCTGTATCTCTCATTCAGTCTCCTCAAGGCAAGTGTATGGTTCTCTTACGCTGCTCGCCTGCTCTCTCCCTCCGTCCTGTTCTCTCTCGCTGGCCTGCTGCTGTACTGCGCTACCTCATCCCTCTTTCTAGTGCCCCTCTCCTGCTCGTAATCTTCTATTAAAATAGAACCAACCTAAAAAGAAACTAATAACATGGCGAACTACTGTCCTAACCCCAGCTCCTTTCCTAGCTCAACCGGTATTTACCCACCCCTCCTCCAACAAAACCTTGTCATGCTACTCCATCTGTTTCCAACACTGCTGACCCTTAGTTGCTGGACTAATTGTAAGTTATCAACGCAGCACAGCTCATGTTCTCAAAGACATATGGTATTGGTAATTCTCTTCACCACCCCCAACCCCTGCTGCAACTTGAGATGAAACCTCTCTAGCTCATGCCGTAAATAGAAATCTTGACCTATTGACAGTTTACATTGTTAGTTAATGTTAAAGCTGCAGGCATAGCGATAGTCTCAGCAGCTTCACCTTCAGAGCTTTTACTTATATGAACACGTGGTGCATTTGAAATAATGTGCCTCAGTTTATACATTTGGCATAAATAACTAGCACTCACTAACCCTAATCTAAACGAGTCTTTGTCCGTTTTAGGATTCAATGCTGCTGAGTGTTGACTCTTGACAGGACACAAAAAATTAGACATGGAAGACCATACCTCTGCAGCTGCTAGCAATCTGATCCATTTCTGTCTTTACCGCCTGCTAGTGAGCATTATTTAGGTCAGCAGCACTCACTGTAGGTACAAGATAATCCCAAGATTGCCACCTTATTTTAAGAAAGCAGAGAAGTTCAAGTTCACATTGTGCGCACAAGAGCAGAAATCTAAAAATGGATCAGGTTGGTGTCTCCGGAGGTACCAGCTTCCTGCTGCCCTAGTATCCAAGCCCGAGCTCCCCTCAGTCCCAGTAGCAGCCAGGCCCCAGAGGATGAGTGGCACTGGAGGTATCATCCACCGCCCGATGACCTGGGCCTGCCAACGCCTGTGGCAGGCCCAGGTTTCACTTGCCCTCCACCCCTATATCAGCTTACGGCTCTGTGCATGTCTCACATCCTTGCTTAAGCATTAAAAAGTAGGTTTTCTTTGAGCGTTATTTTTATTTCAGATTCTTTTTATGCTGTCATTTTCATCAGTTTTAGTAGTCTATACTAGTGTAAACAAACAGTAACCAATAGCTGTGAAAGTAGTGTTTTTTGTTTAGTGATATAGTATAATAGATTGATTAGGGAAGATAACACGAGCCACAAAGTATCCTTAGTCACAGCGTACCATTACAACACTTATGTCTCATGCATCCAAACTATTCACTATGAGTGAGGAATGACGGGACGTGACTGCACCCAGTGGAATTTGAATTACTGACTCATCTGTTTCTCACCAAAAATATCTGACTGAGCTTAAGCATTACATTTTGTAATCAGTAAAGCAATGCCTGGGGTTTCAATGTAAATTCCTTTATTAATTTGGTGTATACCCCTTTGTTAAGTCTGAGTGATAAGGAGATATATGATTGAAAACCACTTAATTTCAGATTATTTCATCACATATACTGATCCCAAGAATAACATTTCATGTTCAGGGTAAGAGAAGATTTAGCTAATTGTAACAAATGATTTTGGGGCCACATTCACATTACCTCAACTCCAGCTACTGCAGAGAGCAGATTACATAAATCAGACATGGAAGTCCACTGAGGCCTAATTTGGCAGATGGCACATCACTAGTGGCCCATTACAAATTGAACTTGTTGATAGCTGTTTTTTATAACCATGTTCATAAAGCTACTCCTGAATTATAGTCTCTCTGGAAGTTGATTTTCAAATCAAGTAGCCCTGGCTCTCTCTAGAATCTGTGGATGTGTTCTCAGAGCACGAGCTCTTATGGAATTTGTTTACTAGTACAGAGCCAGAGGACTACAATGCTGCTGGCTAGATGGAAAGTCCATTCATGTGGCCTAGTTTGAACAAGGCATTGTATTGTGGAAAAGGGGAGGTAGCAGTCCAAGACAAAGTGGACCAGTCAGTTGGCCATCAGTGGAAAAGTCTCTGTCTATGCAGTGGCAGGGGATATACAAATATGTGGATCTGAAAATACTTTATTCAAGTGTGCTTGATAGGTAAAAGTGAAATCAGTTGGAGGTTAATATAGACAATACCCTGTCCTAATGGCATCATGGCAGGTGACATGAGAGATCATTGGTGTTTGAACAACCATTTGACTGTTGGAATAGTTGCTTAGAACATCTTTGAATGTCTTTGGAAACATCCAGGTTACTTAGTGGCCACATGGCTGGGGAAGGGGGCCCTGCCATCACAGAAACGTCTCTTCAGCTGTTTGGCTGAGGAAATGATGGTGTTTGGATGACCTGATTAACTGCACTGTGACGGCAATATTGCCTAGCTTTTGGCATTTTATAATTTCGGTATCCGATCCTTACATAATTTTGAGGATCTTATAATACATAGTTTACAATTACTGATTAGGTAGCTTGTCACTGAGCACAGTGAATGCATCTCTGTTTGTGATTGAGACATTTTTTAGATTAGTCCTTTGCCTAATGGCCGTTTTTTTCTACATTAAACTGTATTAAAGTTTTCCATCATTAGTAATATGGTTGTTTGCTAGGTCAATCCTTTTTCGCTAATATTTGAAAACAGCATGGAGATCTGTAGGCAGGTTTTGAAGAAGGACCATTTCTTAGTAAGTTAACTGGTAGTCAGCACATTTTTCAAACTGAAACTTGAACACAGACTATATCCATGGTTTTAAGACCCCACCTGACTTAACCTAACGGCGTGTGCCTGATTTCAGAACTTCAATTGACTGGTTTGATTCAAAACGGATTGTAGTGTACCAGGCTAGTACAACAAATGTACTACGCTTGGTCTCCTTCCCTCTTCCCACTGCTTATTTTCTATCTAATAGGCATATTTACACACATAATTGGCACAGAAATAAACTAACTTGAAGTAAGCCCAAAGCTTTATGAAACAAAAAAAACATTAAATATTCATTTCCAATCTGTCAGATGAGGTATTTAACATTGCAGCAGTGCTGCCCACCCTTGTTTTAAGTGGAAAGAGAAATAGTTTTAAAGCGCATTATAAGTCACATGGTTTTGCATTATAAAAGGAACATGTTGATTATGCAGAAACATTCACCTTTTACGAAGATGATTCTAAAGGAATTCTAATACATCCTAAAGTAATAAAAGGCCTTGGGGTGTAGGTGCAACTTTTATCCTTCTGATCTTTCGTCTGGTTTTTTTAGATGCCCTTTTTATATCTCAATCATGTTTGTTACTTGTGTAACAAACATGGTGTTCTGTGGTGAAGGTGAAAATGATGTTGGCTGTTTGTTTTTTAAAGTTGCCCTTTCTTCTTTGTAACATTAGCAGTAGTAGCCTAAGTGAGTTTACCTTGAAAAAAGAAATAGCATTTCACATGACCAATATGTAATCCCACAAATGTGTGGTGTAAATCCCAGCTCAGATTATAGGAGTCTAGAGTTAAGTAGTTCATACCAATTCTGTTTTAGTCAAATCTATTTTTGAAAACAAATATTAATAAAATGTTGTAATTGTTTAATTTAATCATATAAAACATTACAAAATGTATTTAATGACTGCAATTGTTAAGGAATTCATATACATCAATCACCATATCCACTCATGAAGAGATTAGTGTTTTTTTCTTTTTCTTTTGCTGTTTATCTGATCATTCAGATCATTTAAGTTGCCATACAGACCGGATTGCTTTATTGCAACTTTGAAGTACAAAAGCAGCATGCAGAACATAAAAATCCCATCCATTATATGAATTTCCATGATGCAATGCATGAATGCTTGGGCTGCAACATCAAGGCCTCGCTGAATAATATTAGAAGTGCATGAAAGTTTAGTGTGGTGTGATATATGACCCCCCCTCCTTTTCTTCTTCGTTGTTCGCTTTTTGCATGCCGATGCAGACAAAAGAGTGGCCCTGGGCTCCGACAAGCCCTGCGAAGGTGTCGCGACATCCCTTCGTTTTCCTTCTCAGCATGGCTCATTCACCCCGAGTAATTACGGGAGTGAACCAGGGCCGCCAGATGGACAACCAGACTCACCGATAAAGACCTCTCCCGTTTCGGAGCGAATAAAGGCACTTGAAGCTCTGGCTGCCAAAAAGAAGGAACCAGATTTTAGAAGTGATGGTGGTTTTTCTCACTTCAGAGACCGCAACCATGAGAAACCTCCCACTGAGACCAACAAATCTCCCTCAGAGGTGCACAAATTCTCCACTGAGACCTCCAAATTCTCCACTGAGACACCCAGATCTCCCACTGAGACACCCAGATCTCCCACTGAGACACCCAGATCTCCCACTGAGACCAACAAATCTCCCTCAGAGGTGCACAAATTCTCCACTGAGACCTCCAAATTCTTTACTGAAAATCCAAACTTCTCAACTGAGACACCCAGATCTCCCACTGAGACACCCAGATCTCCCACTGAGACACCCAGATCTCCCACTGAGACACCCAGATCTCCCACTGAGACACCCAGATCTCCCAATGAGACACCCAGATCTCCCACTGAGACACCCAGATCTCCCACTGAGACACCCAGATCTCCCACTGAGACACCCAGATCTCCCAATGAGACACCCAGATCTCCCAATGAGACACCCAGATCTCCCACTGAGACACCCAGATCTCCCACTGAGACACCCAGATCTCCCACTGAGACACCCAGATCTCCCAATGAGACACCCAGATCTCCCACTGAGACACCCAGATCTCCCACTGAGACACCCAGATCTCCCAATGAGACACCCAGATCTCCCACTGAGACACCCAGATCTCCCACTGAGACCCAAAAAGCTCCAACTGAGGTGCACAAATTCTCCACTAAGACCTCCACATTTTTCACTGAAACACCAACATTCTCCAGTGAGACCCCCAAATCTCCCAATGAGACCAACACATCTTCCACTGGGACCCCAAAATCACCATTTGAGACCCCTCAATTTCCCACTGAGACTTCAAAGCCTCTCACTGAAAGAACTACGCCAACTGTCCAGAAAAGAGGAGGATCTACTGATCAAGAGTCACCGGAATCTCCCTTTGAAGTGCTTGGAGATTTAAGACAAGTGAATGAATTTGAAGAAACAGAAGAGTGGATGAAGTCTCATTTACCTCCTGTGCCAGACTATGCTGCTGTAGATCTAACTAAAACCACCCTGACTTCAGACAGTGTGACGTCGAAGGCAAAGAAAGAAACTGACATAGTTATAGCCGATGCTCCTGCTCCCTTTGCTGGAGTCCCTGATGCGTTCATGGATTCTCCTGCTGAAGCTTCAAAGCTGAAGAATGATTCTAGTGATGCACAGAAGCAGTCATGTGTTGAGGAGGAGTCTGAATTTGATCTAAGCTATTTGCCAACAGCCTACATGTGGGATCAACAGGAAAAATCAGGTGCCCAGGCTCCATCAAAACTTGATTCAGGCCCAGTTCCACCTGCACCTCCTGCAGGCTTTGACTCCCAGTCTCCTCATGTCCCTCCACCAGTTGGCATGGATGCTAAAAATAATGTTTTGGATGACAAGAAGAACATATGGACCGGAGATCTTGAGCGCCCAGAGGCAAGTGAAGCCGACAGCTCAGGAGATTCAGACGACACAGTCATTGAAGATGGTGTCTCTGTTCCTGCTACTGTTCCTCCTTCATCTTCTCCTCAAGCAGTTTCAAATGATCCTAGCCCTGCTGCAGCAGCCCCGAATCTTCCCACTGATGAAAAGGAGATTCCACCAAAGTCGGAGAGGAAGCTAATGCAGGTGCCAACAATAAATGTCATAGAGACTGACGAGCCAAATTACAGTGATGAGGAGATGGAAATGGAAATGGAGCTTGAAGTGGAAGAAGATGAGGACTATGAGGCTGTAAGAGAACAAGCTAGAGAGGCTCCAAAGACCCCAGAGCCAGAGGATAGTAAACATGAACCACCCAAAACACGGCCCTTAGAAACCGAAATCATGGAAGGCTACTCACCCCCGTCCTCACCTGTGGACTCTGATGCTGAATACTCTCCTAAACACAACATAATCAAACCTCTTCCTGAAACAGTACATCATGAGTCTGCATCAAAACCTGAGGCCCAAACCAATCAAGCTCAAACTGAAAAATCACAGGCCACTTCCAATAAAGAAAATGATGAAGACCCTTTCAAAGTCACAAAGGAAGAAGTGGACTTCCCAGACAATGATGATGAGTGGTCAGATGAACCACAATATATCATGGTCAAACCTTGCAAGACTGATGTTGCTTTCATAGAAACATCCTACAACCAATCCAAGGTGGATGAAAAGAGCAACACTGCTGGAAAAGAGGCTCATATGGAAATGGCTTCACTATCTAAAACCAGCTTCATGCAAGATGATATATATGACCGACAATCATTTGATTACGATTATGACGCATCCTCTACCTTGGATGATATTGATGAAAAAGAGTTGAGTGCTAAAGAACGCTTTCTTTCGGATCCTTCTCAAATCAACAATGAACCACTGAATGCAAGCAGTCCAATTCTGGATAATTTCACTTCAGTGAATGATGATGAAGCCTTCCCCAAGCTAGTCGATCAGCAATGTCAAAGAGAATATCCCCAAGATCCATATTCCTCTTTCCAAAGTGAGACACTTAGCAGGATGAATGAGCAGGATTTCAATAAAAAAATGACCACTGACATTGTTACAGATAACATAGAACATAGCAACTGCCTCCCAGCACAGAAGATTGGATCAAAGCTCCAGCAGGACACTAAAGCAGGTCAACAGGCTCCTGAAATGACAAGCAATCCAGAAAGCAATGACTCAGACAGCTCAGTTTCTGAGCCTACAGATAGCTTTGTTGAGTTCATGCGAGAGTGCCTGAAATCAAGACAGGATGAAGCACAACAGGACGACACGCCCAAAAATGTACCTTCTGAGGACAAGTTCTGCAAAGCTGGTTTGCGTCCTAATCAGTCCCCTCCGACCATGGTGATGGATCTTGAACAAGAACAGCTAACTATCACTGCTCTTAAGGAGCTGGGCAGCAGTCAAGAAGAGGAAGAGGATGTGGCGTCTCTACAGTCAAAGGTTCCGGACCATGGCAAAGCTAACCCCAATGCTGCATCTATTCAGCAGTCTTCCTTTTCCGCCGTTCCTAATCCTTCATGTTCCCAAAGCAACAGTGTGTTTGACAGCACATATTCCAAAGAGGTAGAAGCCATCGACGAATGGGTGGCTGAAGCCTATCATCTTGCTGAGCATGTCGTGACAGCAATACTAACCCACTTATCAGGTAACACCTCTTCTTATGGGCGATAGGCCTGCTGACCTCACACAGTCCCCTCAACAAGACCCCTTTCCTCACTTGCACCTTGAACTGCCTGTTCATTCTAAAAATAATTATTGTTTTTATATTTTGTATACATGTAGGAACATGCTTTATACAACAAAAACACTCAAATTGCCAACACAACTCTTTCGTTCCTTCTGTATTGAAAATGTAAGGCACTTTAACAGTTCTAAGTCAAATTTAGCCTGCACACAGTAATGCTTAGTTGTAACTACTCGTCTCCTGTCAGCGTTCCTGTCACTAAATACCGCCCCTCAATACGACATTGAATATCCACTAGAGGTTCAGGTTAGAAGATTCTAAGATGAGCAGCACACTGTCTTCTCCTCACAGTACTGTATTTCTAATTCATTTTACTTATCGGCAAACATACAAAAACAGGGGAAGCCTGGCTTCCCTTGGCCTCCAGGAGAAAACGCCACTGAGTTCAAGGGATAATTCTCACCCACCTCTTGCTCTTGCCCTGCACTTGTATGTGCCAGTTGAGCTGGTTCTTCCACCAGCTCAACTCTGTCCCTCATCATGAACGCAGGAGGCTGGCTGTATATCTGAACTCGCGCCCTCATCATTCTCTTCATCATCTTGCACTTGTTCTAAGCTGCTGATGATCGTGCTTGTAGCAGCGCTGCTGCCAAAAAGGTCTGTCAATTTGCGACATGTATATGCTTCACCTGCGAGTGACTTCACCTTTTTTCTCTTGCCTTCTCGGCCCCACCTTTTTCTTTTCTTTGATTTTTATCCATGTGTTTTCATTCTCCCTGTCTGCCGCGGCGTCTAATCCCTTCTCTTCGTGTGGCCAGTCTTTTTTCTTCTTCGTGTGTGATTATTTGAAAGATAAGAACCACACAACTGCATTAGCGGCAGCTGTCGGCCGTCAGCGCTTAAACAATCTTTTTTTTAAAGGGCCGGCCGGCCGTCAACGGCCCTTGACGACCGGCCGTTCTGTGGTTCTCCAGATTCTACAGATGGCCAGTCCGCCCCTGTATATATATCCATTAGGGGTGTAACGGTTCACAAACATTTCGGTTCGGTACGAACCTCGGTTTTTAGGTCACAGTTCGGTTCGGTACGTTTTCGGTACAGCAGAAAAAATTATCACAAAACATAAAATATTTTTTGTTTTTTTAAAATTATTATTAAACTGTGAATAATGTATTCAATCAAATAAATACAAAATAAAATAAACATTAAGGTGCAGCATTTCGATGAACTGAAATAATCTGTATTTGAACTGTACTGTACTAGTACCTAAGCAGCCAGTTTGACATTAGGCGCATTCACACTGCGGTACTTTTCCCACAAAGGTTCATGTGAACTTAGTTCATGTGAACTCTTTTATCGCGTTCACACCAAAAAGAGCCGGTACTAAAATTAGTTCATGAGAACCTTTTTACCCCCACGAAAGTCCCTGCTAGAGAGCAGAGAGCTGCTAGAGAGCAGGGACTTTCGTACGGCTCTCTTGTGAGAAAAGAGCTATATTTCTGATTGGCTGGGCGGATTGCAAACCACGCCCCGTAAAACTTCCAAAAAGTTTTGTGAAGCCGCCATTTTATTATCCTCGCATTAGCATTATTAGCATTAGCATTAGCCCAGCGCAGAAACGCAGAGAGACTAACTTATGGCAACACAAAATAAAACATGGGAGCGGTGGAGATGAGGAGGTGTCGGCGTTCTGGCGATTTTACTCGGAAGGCTTCAGTAGAAGCTGCTGGGAGTCCCAGCAGCTTCTACTGAAGCCAGTCCCCAACTCCGGGGACTTCCGGCCGGGGACTTTGGGCGGCAGTATACGCCGTGAAGTGGTTTGCGGCCTGCCAGTAAACCCAAAGCAGAAGAAGAACAAGTGACGTCAGCGGCTTCATTTGCCTAATCCACCCCCAGGGACTTTTTCCAGTGTGAACGCGATCTGTACTTAGTTCATGAGAACTAAAGAGTTCACATGAACTAAGTTCACATGAACCTTTGTGGGAAAAGTACCGCAGTGTGAATGCGCCTATTAGGACTTGCTTGTCATTGTATTTTCATGTTTTTTTAAAGAAAGATGAACTTGTCCACATTGCTTGCCGAAAGGGCAGATCTGCTGGCACTAACAATGTCTCCTGCTGTGGAGAACACCCTCTCTAGGGACAGAGGTAGCAGATACAGCCAGGTAGCGCTTTGCTAACATGGCAACATAAGGATATTTGGCGTTTGTAATAGCTTTGGCTCGGTCTGAACTCTTTGCGAGTGGTGGAGGCTTAAATGCTAGCGGGAGTTGGGTTTGCACTTCAGTCTTTTTTCTTTTGGTACCGGTGATATTCACGTTCGGGTGATGCCTTTTCAAGAGTGTGCAAGTTTGATGTATTGCCAGCCGCGTAACCAATTTTAGTTGAACAATGCCGACAAACAGCTTTGGTTTGGTCCACCAGTCTTTGTCCGTCATCCTTGTTCGTAACTGCGCTACCAAAATGTTCCCAAACCGGAGACTTCAATGAAGATGGAGGATTTTCGAGCTCAACTTTATCTGCGTTCGCCATTTCGACAGTTCCTCAAATTACTGACTACATTTGAACGCATCCCTCTGACCAGCTCTCATAGTATGCCTCTCGTCCAATTAAATGACTTGCTCGCTCTGTGACGCGTTGAACCCAATGTGAGCAAATTACTCTGAATGCTGCGACGCAGAACCTGAGATTACTTCCAAAAAGTTGTTCACGTTCTCAATTGTTTACGTTTAACGTTATATTCGTTCGGTACACTTCGGTACACACGTGTACCGAACCGAAGGGCCCGTACCGAATGATTTCGGTACGTGTACCGTTACACCCCTAATATGCATCTATAGAACTACAGTACAGAAAACCCTTTGTCCTAAAGGTCATTCAGGTTTATTTTACTTTAATCTAAAACTGTAGAGACTGCAGTTGTCACAGAGATTATAGTATCCAAACCACAATATAGTGGACACTAAGGCTGCACATGGTCTGGTGATCCCCTCTCCATCTGATCTTTTGACCCTCTCGTCCCCTTTGTCCTTTACAGCTTGGCAGTGGTCCATTGACAGAGAGTCGGTGAGGTTTAAATATGGTGCCCTGGTGTTGGCTTGCAAGAACCTTGAACATCACGGGGTACAGTCAATTCCCAGTGTCGGGTTTCTGTCCTAATGCGACTTACCAAAGCACACTTGGTGAACACTGACAGGATGAAAAGGACATGGTACAAAAAAAACAGTTATGAAAAATGATCTCAAATAAAAGTGGTGCATAATTCGTACTTGGTTGTTAAGCATAATGCCATCTTGGGTTAAAAGGTCCATGTAAGGCATTTTTGTCCTCTCGTGTCCAATCCTCCTCTCTTCAATCCAGCCACCCTTTTTCTCAAAAACGATGTCTGAGATTTAACCAACCTATCACCATGTATCACAGATTACTGTGATGGTTCTTACTTTGTTAAAAGTTGACCAGTCACCAAACCAAGGTCAAAGCACTGGTGGGTTATTTTAGAGAGCAACAGCAGCCACTTATGCAGTACCCCCCTTCTCTGCAAACATGATCTTTATTCCACACACATATGCTCAGAGGCTGGTATGCAGACAGTAATCCTAACACATTCAGTAGGGTGTCTACATGTGTTGAATATCTTAACCTAGAGTTGGCACACTAGAGAACAGAGTGCTGGTGCTCTAGCAACCAGAAACTAAGAGGACACTGTGCAGAAGGGCCATAACAGTTCAGCTCATTTTAAGTCTGTGCATTGCTTTTTGTAGATTTTCAGCAGTGCACATAATGTAAAGATTCTCTAATTGTGGTATTAATGACTTGGTGTTGAAAAAGAAGCACTGTTCTGTAGAGAAGCCTGTGTTGGTGAATCCTCCCCCTCCAGCCATGAGCTATTTTAGTGTTTCTCTGCAATGCTGCTCCACAACTTGTCTTATTAGGCAGGGTGAGTTTGTTTTAGGTAGGTGTGCCTGTTGTCATGAAGATATGCTAGACATTTTCTGCATTGCCAATGCATGCAAGCATTAGCCTCCAAGATTTAGTTTAAAGCAAGCATTCCATTAGTGGTCACATTTGTGTTAATCCTCAGTGTGAAGATTTGTAGAATGGAGGAAAGGCACATGTAAATATTTGACTTAAACCTGTAGCGGTGTTTATTTGATTCCACACTAAGCTCTCTGACATGATCATGTAGGGTTATTATCTTGTTTTTAGTCAGAAGTGATAACGTCAGTCGGGAAATGAATTGGGGTCACATTAGAAATAGAGCAAGTTTTGAACAGGCTTAATTGCCTGTTACTTAAAATAATCGTATTGCAGAAGCCATTAGAACAGTTAGTGTATTACGCTGCTCATAATGTAGCATGGCTTGCCATCACTTGTTGGTTTTACCTGCCCAAACTCTCATTCATTTATTCTCAGTCAAAAATCTAAGATGACTCAATAATAATAATAATAATAATAATGTTACTAGGCAGGTACTTGGATAATATTTGGTCAACGTGACATGTTTATAGGGTATATTAGTTCTGAATGTTCACTGATAAGATTAGGTATATAATATTATTTGCCCAGTTATCTACTACTGCACCCACAGAATAGAAGATGCTTTAGATTTAGATGGCGGTGTTGTTTTATGCAGTCACATAAAACCTTAGCTGTGTACACAATGGATTACAATATTTTTTGCAGAACATCCAGTGCCCTTTAGGTAAAAGTGTGCCAATGGTCTCAAGAGATGCAGTGTGCTTACCTGCATAAGCAAAGCATACTGCAGTTCTCTAAAATGACAACCAGTATGGTTTGCATACCCATACAAATAATTCCTAAATGTGTAGAGACCTTTTTTGATACTTTTATATGTTTGAACCGTTACCTGTAATGCCAGTAAATGTATTTTGGGTTGGTCCAGCCTGTTTCCACTCAGGTTAGTGGTAAGGTGTGTGCAGCTTTAAGAGATCACAGTGAAAGCAGGCCACTGCACCTCGGCAGCCACTGGGACTCAGCAAAGTAGAGCCAGGGCGAGAGACGTGGAGACAGGGAGAGAGGGAGATAATGAGGGCCGTCGAGCTCCGGCTGCCTCCCTGTGGGTGCCAGCAGCAAAGCATGCTGGGAGAACACGCTCCCCCCTGCAGTGCAGGGTGAGAAAGCCCCACTCATTGTTGCTGTTCGATAAAGTCTTCAGGGAAGTCAGCATTGTTTCCCACTTGATCAACGTGTAGTTACATTTCTTTTCAAATCTGTTGTCCCTGAATGTTGTCAACCTGCTGACTTGATAGAGCACATTTCTGTTGTAATGGATTAGGTTTAAACACGGTCTCATTGCAGGCTCAACAGACACAATGAGGAACAATAGAGCTGTCTCTGTTCCTGTGTGAGCCGCACAGCAGTGCTGCTGCTTTCCCTCAGATCCTTGTAAACAGGTTTAACTCTTCATACGCTGAGCATTGTTGTGTTTCTTTCATTTTCTAAGAGTCCAACATGCCATGTGGTTGTTTTAAATGTCATGCAAAAGAAACATCTGATTCAGACATCTTTATATCAAATACCTGAAATGTGTTGGTTTAAAACCCCTTCAGATCAACCATTTAGTTTTCAAGGGGGAACTTTATATGATCAGTTGAACATTTATCAGCCCATTTAACTGTCATCATTCTGTTTTGGGTTGGTTATTGTCATATATAGTAGTGTGTCAAAAGAGTGGCTCAGCTGGATGAATGATCAAACAAATACTCTATCACACTACAAAAAGTGAAGAAACTAAATTAATTTGGTCATAATCACTAAATTGGTGGTGTTGAAAGAAGACGTAGTGACTACTCGCAGTACTAGTTAGATTATAGTATCTGATCATTACACAGGAGCCGGCAATTAGCTAACTCTAGCCAGTGTTGATATAGCACTCCAAGCTAGATCTGTCATTAACTAGACAATGAGATACCAGTTTATTCAAGACTAATATTTGTATTATCGACTGACTGCAAACCATGTCTCTCTTCTGGCGTCGTTTATTTGATTTCATAGCTTTTCTTTGTTGGGCTGTCCAGGCCTCTACCATTTAAGGTCAGATTAGGCAAGTCTGCACTTGGGCAGCATTGGCATGCATCAGAGCAACATTTAAGCAGCCCACAATCTTTTTTTTAGACTTAACTTTTTCTGGGAATAGGATTTGCAGACAGCACCGTTATACCGACATTAGAATGGTATTTTTGAAACATGTATTTTCTGTGAGACAGTACCAACTCTGCTTTAAAATCCCAGCCCAAAGTCGGGATCATGGACATCTGAAGGAATTAGAATTCCCTCTGGTCAGTCAGCCTGTTGAGGCCTAACCTACAAATATGTGATCTAAGCTCTCCAAAAACACTTTTTTGGATAACAATAAAAACCCCAACATTTACATTTAATACATTTGTGACTGTAATTGGATTTGGTGTCCTGACAGTGAGATGTGTCACTTTTCTGTAATGTGTGTGTGAAGGTTCTGCTTAACGTGTGTTCCCATTAAACTAGCTGGAGCACTGGAGCCTGAACTGTCCCTGAGGCATAAGCCACGTGGTTTCTCCCCCCACTTACTAAAGGCTTTTTTAAATGCACTCCTTTTTTTTTCCACACGCAGAGGGAAGGCGTGGCTGAGAGTGCCAACCCATTCCAGCATTACGTAACCACCTTGTATAGAGGCTATCCCTTCTGCATGCACGACCTCACAGGAAATGCATACAAACACAAAGGGAGCACTTTGTCAGTTACCCTCCACTGCCAAATAAGTTTTACGGTGCTTATTCATGTTTTATTGGGCCAGAGTTTTCCTTGAGGCCTGGCTACGATACATACATTTTCCTAATAAAGCAAACCGTTTTAGATAGTTTAGTCCCCTTCAATGCCTTAAACAAAAACAAATTCCCACCTACAGGCCAGGGCCTTTTTCTACCTCATCTACAAGACAACAGGATTTCATTTTGTACTGTTTCTTTTATTGTAGGCCTTTTCTGAGCATACCAATATCAGACTAACCCCTGCCTCTGACCTCCTCTCTGCAGTGAAGGATCTGATCCACTGGCGAGACCCCAAGAAGTCGGGCGTGGCGTTCGGGCTGTCCCTGCTGATGCTGCTGTCGCTGGCAGCCTTCAGCGTCATCAGTGTGGCGTCCTACCTGCTCCTGGCCCTGCTCTGCGTCACCATCACCTTCCGCATCTACAAGTCTGTGGTGCAGGCCGTGCAGAAGTCCAGCGACGGACACCCCTTCAAGTGAGACTCAATCCTCTTAATTCAATTCTACTTTAACGTTTCTTCTACCTGGGAGATTCCATTGACCCGGGAGTGATACTGCCAAAATTAAATTAGCGCATTGTTAAATGATCAAAGTATAGAGGGTTTCTTTAATGCAGCTCCTGGTTCAGAGCATGGGTGACCCAATCACCTGATGATTACAACATCTGTCAAGTACTGTTCTATCTATAATTAGGTCTATTATTAGAGTTTTTCTTTTTTTGTATTGGAAAACTTTGTTAGAAAAGCTAGTTCATATGGCATCACCATAGAAACAAGATAAAGAGAAACTGTGATTTCAATTTACATTGATTTATTTAGAAATAGTTTTATTCCTTCTTAATGTGACAACACAAGAAAACTTAACATTTATGGTATAATGAAAGAATCCAACGTCTCAGAATGTGAGAGGTTAGGCATGGCAGCGCCTGATGTAACCTCGGCTTATTTATAGAAACACTTTTATGATGGAGCCATAGCCCAGGCATCATAATGTTCAGAGCACGACTCCTCTTTGATGTCACTACACTATACATAGAACTCATTTTAGATTTGAAACCAAATCATTCAGTAAAGGAGAACTTGTTAATGTTGTACTAGTGTGAAAATAGATCAGTTCTGCCATGGAGCAGCTGGAACACGGCTATTTCCCTCTGTAGTAATGAGACGTGGCTGATAGCTGTGACTATTGGTCTTGGTTCACCCACTGCTGCTCGCATTCTCCAAGCAGAATCCAGCAAATCATTCAGCACTCTCTGTAGTGTAACCCATCGTGTTAACCATAGATTCTCTGGAATTCAGCTAAAGCATTCCCATTAAAAGCAAACTAATAATATATTTGTGTTTCAAATGCTGGAAGTGTTTTGATCTGGACTATAATGGCTCACATGGTAAATGTAACTCTGTTTACAATCTTGTTTACACAGTTCTTTATACCTTGCTTTTTTCACAATTTATGATTGAAAAGTCTCCCAGAAATGTGTGTGTCCTATGAGTTGTTCTCAGTTCAAATTGTCTGCGCAGAGTTTTATTGACGTAACTTAAAAGCGCCTGCAAAAGGGTGGAAGAAGATCCATTTTGTTTTTTAAATGAATTTACAATATCCACTGCGGTTTACTTGAGCAGGACAGAAAACAGGTCTTTTACTAAATATGTTTATAATATGCTCTACTTGTACAACAGGGTATATTCAACTCTTCTGTAAAAGAAGCAGATTTGAAATAAAGACCAACACATCTGCAGATCAGCTAATACATACCCAACAGTGAAACATTGTGTAGTTCTCATGTCTTCAGCCTCTCCAGTTTCAAAATGTAATGCCTGACTTCTAAACAGTATGGACTGGGAAACGAGTTTAGGGAGTAGGAAATGTCTCGATTTAACCAAGTAATCATTAAGCCATTGGTCTTGATGAAAAGCCCTATAAGGCTTTTGTTTATGCTACTTAAAAAACAGAACCCCCTATTAGTTTCCTCCTCAAAGCTTTCCACCACGGGCTAGTTATGTTTCCCTGCAGCACTTTCCGCCCGGATACTTAGCCTCATTTCGGCTCTCCGTCCCCTCCTCTTCCCTCTCTGCAGAACACTGATAGATAAGGATGTCAGCATCCCCCCTGAGACCTTCCGCAAGCACGTGGACGCCAGTCTGTCCTACATCAACCGAGCCCTGAAGCAGATGAGCCGCCTCTTCCTGGTCGAGGACCTCGTGGACTCCCTAAAGGTGAGCGCTCCGACCCTCAGCTTTTATCCACTGTCATCATTTTGTTTTCATCATTAGGCCTTTAATGGGATCAAACCCCACTCTGTCCCATGAAGACTCCAGGGAACAGCCTTTTTATAGCTCCAATTGGTACTTTCATCAGTCAAATCATAGGCATAATCTGATCTATATCTTTCAAATAAACCCAATTAGCTATGCTTATTTAGTTTGATACATCTGTAGAGAAAAGAACCAAAACAGATGGCTTGCAACACTACAACTTAAAACGGGTCACATCGTTCATCCAGCCGCCATGAGAGTGATCTGTTTCACTGTGATCTATAAATGTGCCTCTAAAAGTAGCCCATCACCTGGGAAAACGTTTTTTATCAGAGATGTTATGTCATTGCAATTAGAATCCTCAGTTTGATAGACAAAAAGGTCAAACTGCTAAATTATTAAAGGGGCCCGATTGTGCTTTTTGGGGTTTTCCTGTAGGCTGTTATGTAGGTTTTTGTGCAAAGTGTTCCCTCTATTGGACTACTTTTTTACTTCTGCGATATAATGGCATCAGTACATAACACTCACGTTTCTATTGGCCAGTGCTCCAACACATTGTACTAAGGGGCGGGACATCTCTAAGAAGTTAACCAATCACAACAGAGGTGGCTAGCTAACCAATCGGAGCAGACTGGGCTCTGGTTTCAGACAGAGGGTGAAAAGAGGTGCTGCAGCACAGGCGGTATGAGAACAATAAAGAGCTTTGTGAACATTAAAGCATGGAGACATGTAGAGACGCTACATACTGATATACACCTGAACATCAGCAGGAGAGGACTCTTTAAAGTATAGACACTACATACTGATATACACCTGAACATCAGCAGGAGAGGACTCTTTAAAGTATAGACACTACATACTGATATACACCTGAACATCAGCAGGAGAGGACTCTTTAAAGTAGAGACACTACATACTGATATACACCTGAACATCAGCAGGAGAGGACTCTTTAAAGTATAGACACTACATACTGATATACACCTGAACATCAGCAGGAGAGGACTCTTTAAAGTAGAGACACTACATACTGATATACACCTGAACATCAGGCAGGAGAGGACTCTTAAAGTAGAGACACTATATACTGATATACACCTGAACATCAGCGGGAGAGGACTCTTTAAAGTAGAGACACTACATGCTGATATACACCTGAACATCAGCAGGAGAGGACTCTTTAAAGTAGAGACGCTACATACTGATATACACCTGAACATCAGCAGGAGAGGACTCTTTAAAGTATAGACACTACATACTGATATACACCTGAACATCAGCAGGAGAGGACTCTTTAAAGTAGAGACACTACATACTGATATACACCTGAACATCAGCAGGAGAGGACTCTTTAAAGTAGAGACGCTACATACCTGATATACACCTGAACATCAGCAGGAGAGGACTCTTTAAAGTATAGACACTACATACTGATATACACCTGAACATCAGCAGGAGAGGACTCTTTAAAGTAGAGACACTACATACTGATATACACCTGAACATCAGCAGGAGAGGACTCTTTAAAGTAGAGACACTACATACTGATATACACCTGAACATCAGCAGGAGAGGACTCTTTAAAGAAGAGACACTACATACTGATATACACCTGAACATCAGCAGGAGAGAACTCTTTAAAGTAGAGACACTACATACTGATATACACCTGAACATCAGCAGGAGAGGACTCTTTAAAGTAGAGACACTACATACTAATATACACCTGAACATCAGCAGGAGAGGACTCTTTAAAGTAGAGACACTACATACTGATATACACCTGAACATCAGCAGGAGAGGACTCTTTAAAGTAGAGACACTACATACTAATATACACCTGAACATCAGCAGGAGAGGACTCTTTAAAGTAGAGACACTACATACTGATATACACCTGAACATCAGCAGGAGAGGACTCTTTAAAGTAGAGACTCTACATACTGATATACACCTGAACATCAGCAGGAGAGGACTCTTTAAAGTAGAGACACTACATACTAATATACACCTGAACATCAGCAGGAGAGGACTCTTTAAAGTAGAGACACTACATACTGATATACACCTGAACATCAGCAGGAGAGGACTCTTTAAAGTAGAGACTCTACATACTGATATACACCTGAACATCAGCAGGAGAGGACTCTTTAAAGTAGAGACACTACATACTGATATACACCTGAACATCAGCAAGAGAGCACTCTTTAAAGTAGAGACACTACATACTGATATACACC